CCACAGCACCTCTACCACAGGAATATTGTGAGGAATAAATTAAATCATATACTGGTATGTGTCTGGCTTTGGGCATGGACATAGAAAACGTGGGTTAATTTTTTCTTGTTTTCTCTGTGGTCAAGATGGGCTTGGAAAAAACATTCATAAAAAGCTATCCCCTTGGCCGATGTGAGGAAAAGGCATAACCTCCTTTTCCTCAGGTTCTTCTTACACCACAGAAAAGAGATGTAATTGTTGACTCTGAGTCTCTTAAGAAGAGACATAGTCCTTAATTTATTTCCCGGGACCCACAATGAACATAAAGTCAAGCACTGACCTTGTCACCAGAGCCGAGCCTGAGCCATAAAATGGGCCATGGCATTAAGACAGGATATCCTGAGTCTGGGGCTCTAATTCTGGGAGGTTCCCTCTCAGGTGCCCAGGTCTGATCCACCCTGCACTTGGCGACAGAGAGGAAACACGCCAGTGAGCAGACATGCCACATTAGGGCAGGGCCCGGCAAAGAGCTGTTGAACATAGGGTAACGACTCTAACATGAGTCGTTGGTACTTACAAGAACCACACGAAGGTTGCCACCTTGCCTTCTCCCCACCCGGCTAAAGCCCAATTTTTAAAGAAAGGAAAAACTGAATTAATAACTTTTCTTATTTTGGAACTTCCTTTTTTGCCTGAATATCTGACTTCCTGTTGTTTCCTCTTTAATGACTAACTCATTTCTCCTTTCTTGATCTTATTTTTGTGCACTTTTTGGATAAAGGAAATCTGGATCCAAAATATCTGTATGCCTATGATCTGATTCCACACTTTAGTCCTCTTGACCTCCTGCCTGGTTTTCTCTCTCCACGCTGTACTCATTTCTAATGACTTACAAGTACACTAATTCACCATAACATGTAGGATGCTGTGGGCTTGTCACAGTGCCTGCTTTGGTGTCCGTGACTCTGCTCTCCCAGGGAGCAGATTGAAGTGGGTAAACCCCTTGAGCCTGGCTGGTGCGCCCACACCCAGCTGCTGGGAGTGCTGGCTGCTAAAGCCTCATACCTGCAACCCTCAGGAGATCTGCTCTTTGGTAAAGAGCAACCTCACCTACAAGGTTACTTGAATGGCCAGAGGCCACTCACAGCCTGAAATGGTGTCCATCAGCCAGCCTGCTGTCTCTGTGAGGGACTAACCCCGAGCTGCAGTGTGTGCACCTGCCTCTCCCTGCCCCTCCCTGCCCACTGGGATCGCAGCAAGACAACATCCTTACTTAGCCTCTCTCCCCTGCCCTACCTGCTTCCCTCTCTCTTCCCTCCAGACAGTTCACTCAAAGTAAAGCCCTTTGACAGCTCCTCCATGTCAGGCTCTACTCCAGGAGACCTGACCGAAAACGATAGTCCCATTCCCCCTGGATTTGAGGCTCAGCAGAAAAGGCCTAAGACTCTACCTCTAAGCTGCTAGGACCTGATACTAGTGTCATCAAGACATCTCTGAGATGGAATGTGGAGTCCCTTCAGCACCGTGTGCTTGGCGCTGGAAACAGGAAGTAGAGGCCTTCCCATTGTGCCATTTTTCCTAATCTCTTGGGAATTCATTTAACAAGATCCCCATTGACAATGACCTACCCGCCTGCCTTCTTTGCTCCATCTCCCTTTCTCCCTCCCTCCCTTCCTTCCGTCCTTCTTCCTTTTTTAAACCATAACTGCAGTTAAAATGGAATTAATTTTTTTCAATTACAACTTATATTCAATATTATTTTGTATTAGTTTCAAGTACATAGCATAGGAGTTACTCAATTATATACACTACAAAGTGTACCCCCTAAAATGTATTTTTAGGGTAATATTGCTAATCTGTGATCCCCTCTTCCTTAAAATACCTCAGCTCATTCCTCAGAATCAAAAAGGGAATATACTGGATACTACCATAAAGAAAGGTAAGTTGTCTACCGACTTCTGAGATTCTGGAGTGAAAATTTGTGGAAGAGATGCTGTTTAATTTCTCATTTCTGAGAAGACTTTGTGCTTAGGTGTCATGTAGGAGTTGGGAGTAAAAGATTTGGGACACCATACCTGGATTCAATGCTCCTTCATTACTGTGGTGTGTTTTTAAGTGATGTGTTAAATTTTTATCATCTGAAAATGGGAGATGATAATAACATCTTAATTTTCTTAATAAGGGCATTTGGATTTGAATTGCTTTAAACATTTTATAAAGATTTTTTACTTTATTTACTTTTAGAGATAGGGGAAGGGAGGGAGAAAGAGAGGGAGAGAAACATCAATGGGGGGTTGCCTCTCGTGCACCCCACAGCCCTCACTGGGGACCTGGCTTGCAACCCAGGCATGTGCCCTGACTGGGAATTGAACTGGCAACCCTTTGGTTCACAGGCCAGTGCTCAGTCCACTGAGCCACACCAGCCAGAGCATAACATCTTAATTTTAAAGAGACATTAATAAGTTAAAACATACAAGTACTGTACTCAGATCAGTGCTTTCCTCCCTTTTATATATTTGACACAGATGATAATTTGGTGATGTCCTCCCCAGACCCTGACTCCCAGAGTTTATCTTTAGCATAAACAAATAATTTTCTAAACCAGGATCATTTAGAGCGAAAGGGGGCTCTCATCAGACAGCACAGATTATAGTTTTGTCTTTCCCTATACAATGCTTCTGTCTGTTCTTCCTCAGTGAGAACACTGGCTCCCACATTCACACATGCACTCATTTGTTCAGTGCAGTAAGACATTTAAAGTAGTTCCAGAATTGATTTATCCACATGACCCCAGAAAACAAACCTACATAAAAGAGTTCTGGATTTGATTGCAGTTAGTGTGCAGCTACCTGAGCTGGGTATACATTCAAATACTGTGTTCATAATTTTTTTTCTTTCTTCATTGTGGTTATGGTAGCCATTGAAATATACCAATGCGTTCATTTAGTTCCATTTCAGTGTTTTATCTCTTCCCATGCTTGGCAATTTTATTTTTAGAACATGTAAAACATTAATGTGATTTTTTAAAAAAGCATGCAGAATTCTATTATCAGAGAAGTTTCAGTCCCTCCCTTAACTCTCTTAGTCTGTGGACATCTATTTCCCATCCCTGACTGGCAATCTCTCCTGTGAAAAAGCCACAACAAGGCTTTAATCTGTGCCCTTGTTGAGTGTAAGGAGAGGAGAGGGGAGAGCTGGATAGAGGTGGAAAGCCCCAGGTTCCTCAGAGCACTGCAGAGCCTGCTGTTTACTGCCTCTCCTCTAGAAAACTCCTGTGGCCAGGGACTCGACTCTATATACTAAAGAATAAAATGAAGAAATTCAAATGGCCAGTTATAAAAGCAGTTAGGGGGATGTAAAGTATAGCACAGGAATGTAGTCAGTAATATTGTAATAACTATAAAGGGTGCCAGGTGGGTACTACCCTTATTGAGGGGATCGCTTTGTAAGTCATATAAATGTCTAACCACTATGGTGTACACCTGAAACAAATATAAAATTATATTGAACATCACCTGTAATTGACAAATAAAAAAATAATATTGTAATAACTATGTATGGTGTTCATTGGGTACTAGACTTACCAGGTGATCACTTCATAAGGTATATAACTGTCTAATCACTATGTTGTACACCTGAAATTAATATTGTATGTCAATAAAAAAGCCTTCCAAATCAAAGGCCTAGATAAGTAAAAATATATACCACGCTCCCATGTTTGGAAGACTAAATAGAGTCAAGTCGTCAAATCTAATCCCCCAACTCTGACCCCACTGAATACTAAAGAAGGACAACTTGGTGGGGAGATTTCTTCTAGACTCTGTCATCCTGGGATTTGGTGGGGAAAAAAGATGGGTGAGTGTTTCAGGAGAGATGGTAATCCTACATCTCTTTGCATCATTTTCTCAACTCGGCAAGGCTTTTAATCTTCCTGGATAACCACCACTGCTGCCACATCGCCTGGGATATGGGGATCTAGTGCTTTGGATGCTGGGCCAGTCAGTAGCCTCTAAATAATACACAGGGAGCAGAGAATGCAGAATATCAGAGCTCTCTGCAAAATTATCCTCTTTCTTCTGCCCTATCAACATAATACCCTTTGATATTTAAAACCCATTTATATGTCTAGGAATCTTCTTTTACCATTATCAAGTTGTTCATTTTCCCCTTTTATTTTGACCATAGTTGCAAATATTAGTTTCATTTATATCTGCTACATTTTTATCAAGTATAGTTACTTTTATTTCTATTACTTTATTTTTTATCTTCAGGGCTATCTTCTACTGTCTAATGTAAAATTAAGCAAAATGCATCAGTTAACATTAAAATGTTTTTGTCTGAGTTTAAAATTATGTCCTCAAGTCTATTTAATTAGGCAGGCTGATAATGTTATTCAAATTCTCTATATTCTATTTATTTTTGTAAACTCAGTGACATTTTTCAGATAAATATCTATTAAACTCCATTTAGTCTCCTTCTGTTTCCTAAAGCTTTTTATGTCTAAAAAGGTGTTTGTCAATTCAAAATCCTACAGGATTAAGCCATTAATGTACACAGGTAAACCTAGTTCTGTCAACCATTCATCATAGAAGAATACTGGCCAGGACCATAGCACTTTCTGATTTTTAAAGAGAAGCAAAATCTCCAGATTGTCTAAAAGTGGGTATATAATCTAAAAAAAAATTAAACTACAGAGTGGGAAAGAAAAGATAACTATTGAGGCATAAACTGCCATTTTCCACTGTTGTGTAGCCTATGATTTGAAAAATGTTATGCATCAGTTTGCATCCACGTACCCTAAATAAAATGCTGGTAAATCATATACAACTTGGAAGAGAACTAGTTGACTCCTTCAGAGTAATTTAAATCAGTATTTCTATATCCAGTAGTATGAAGTAGAATTTTGCAAATATAAAAAAGGTGAAATTTGTTAATATAACATTTGCTGCATAAGTAAACTAACACATATACTCTTTCTCTCTAGATCATCTGGCTTTGAATAAAATAAACAACTTCTGGGTATTGACATTACGGCTTCTAGTGAGTTGGTGATGGGGACTCTCTTCCTCTTCCAGACTGGAATTGGGCTCCTAGGAAATGTCTCACTCCTTTGTTTTTATGTACTGACTTCATTCACTAAACACACTCAGCGACCTGTAGATCTAATACTCACCCACTTAGCCTTAGCCAACTCCCTGTTCCTTCTCTGTAGGGGAATCCCTCAGATACTGGATGCTTTTGCTTTCAAATATTTTATGGGAGAAGTTGAGTGTAAAGTTAACTTTTATACTCAAAGAGTGGCCCGGGGGGTTTCCCTCTGCTCCACCTGCTTCTTGAGTGGCTTCCAAGCTAGCATGCTCAGCCTTGGTAACTCCAGGTGGGCAGAACTCAAACGCAAAGCTCCTAAATTTATTCCATCCTGCTGTTCCCTCTGTTGGGTTCTTCATCTCCTAATACATTCTGCTGTGCCAGTGAAAATTACTCACTCGGGGCATACTGCAAACATTACAAAAATAAATTTGGGATTGTGTTCTGGAAAAGGAATAGATTCATTTACATTGTCATTCCATGCATTCCTGTTTTCCTTCACTGATATTTTGTTTTTGGGACTCATGATTTGGGCCAGTGGCTCCATAGTGATCTTCCTGCAAAGACATAAGCAGAGAGTCCAGTATATTCACCGCACCAGCCTCTCTCCCAGAGCCTCCCTGGAGACCACTGCCACTCACACTGTCCTGCTTCTGGTGAGCTTATTTGTTTCCTTTTATTCTGTCTCCTCTGCCTTTTTCATTTACCTCACTTGCTGTGTCACCTCAAGCCTGAGACTGTGGAACATCAATGTCTTCCTGGCGGCTTGTTTCCCAGTTTTCAGTCCCTTTGTGCTCATCACCCGTGATATTCAACTCTTCAGAACTTACTTTGTCAGTGGTGGTAAAATGAAAACCTTCAAATAGCCCGTTTACAAACTACACTTGTTCATTCAGCAAATTTAAGCACTCAATATTTGACAACTGTGCATCTCACTGTAGAATCATCTGAAATTTATCCTGGTTATTTTCAACATGAGATTTCAATCTTGTTATTTAACTTAACTTTCTAAATGCATTTGTTATTTTCTCTTTGAATATTGCCTTCCAATGTAACAAATGAGTTTTCCTCTCCTGCAAAAACGGCACAACCCAAGAAAAAGGGTTTACTTATATTGATACTTGGCATTATCCTAAGGAAATGGCACAGCTTATATAATAACCCTAATGAAATGGCATCTCCTCTACCACACATGAGTTGAATTAGCATTTTAGGGACTCATTCTTTAACATGGATCAGCTAGTGCCTAGCAGGCATTGAACTTGGAAGATGCATTTACAGGGGCATCAATGAAAATGTGGATTAAGGATCTCCAAACATCCACATGAAAAGAAGGACAGAATCAGTGTTTTGCAGAACTACAGAAATCAAAGTCTTTCAGCAATCTGGAGAGTGTTTATTCAAGAAAGCAGAAAACCTTGGCAAGACGAGTGAGTTTTTTCATCTTACCTTTCCCTATTCTTATCCTCTCCATCCCAGGCTGCACAGTAGCTTTGAAACCAACAGCCTCCAAACTCATGGTGAAAAGCTGTAGTCTGGTAGCCAATGGAGAGAGCATAGTGGGGTTAGAGCTCTTTAAAATCGCATTCTGAGAGAACTGTTATCATTTGACTTGACTGGCACTTCACTGGAAGACCCCACTCACAGAGGCTATATTTATTTGACCTGACTTGGAGCTCACCCAGTATAAAACAGCTTTTTCCCTAGGGGCATTTGTTGGAAACATTAGCAATTTTTTAACACCCTACAGGGAAAATTCTCAAGAATATACTGTATGTTAGTCAATAAAATGTGTTTCAATAAACTTTAAAGGATTGAAATCACCCCTGACTTGTATGGCTCAGTCAATTGAGTGCCAGCCTACAGACCAAAGGGGTTGCTGGTTCCATTCCCAGTCAGGGCACATGCCTGGGTTGCAGGACAGGTCCACAGTAGGGGTCCCTCAAGCGGCAACCACACATTGATGTTTCTCTGCCTCTCTTTCTCCCTCCCTTCCCCTGTCTCTAAAAATAAATAAATAAAGTCTTTTTAAAAATAAAGGATTAAAATCATTCAATGTTCTTTGATTACAATGGGATAAAATTAGAAATAAGTAACAGAGAAAATGTGGGAAACCTCACAAGTATGTGTAAATTAAACACACTCTTAAATAACCAATGGAGCAAAAAATAAATAAATTACAAGGGGCCCTGGCTGGCATAGCTCAGTGGATTGAGCGTGGGCTGTGAACCAAAGTGCTGCAGGTTCAATTCCCAGTCAGGGTACATGCCTGGGTTGCAGGCCATGACCCCCAGCAACCACACATTGATGTTTCTCTCTCTCTCTCTATCTATCTCCCTCCCTTCCCTCTCTAAAAATAAATAATAATACAATCTTTAAAAAAATAAATAAATTACAAGGGAAATTAGAAAATACTTTAAGGTGAATGAAAATCAAAACACTGCATACCATAACTTATGGGATGGGAGAAATTTGTAGCTGTTAATGCCTACAATATTGAAAAAAGGAAGGAAGGAAGGAAGGAAGGAAGGAAGGAAGGAAGGAAGGAAGGAAGGAAGGAAGGAAGGAAGGAAGGACTTGAATAATAAACTAACCTTCCATCTTAAGAAACTGGAAAAAGCCCAGACTGGTGTAGCTGAGTGGGTTGGGTATCATCCCACAAACCAAAATGTCACCAGTTCAGTTGGTCAGGGCAACCAATAAGTGTTTGTCTCACAGACCAATATTTCTCTCCCTCTCTTTCTCCATCCCTTAGACTGGACATTAGACTCCACATTAGACTGGACCTATTCATGTAGTTTTGGAAAGAATTGGATGGTACCAAATTTAAGTGTTTGTACATAGGTTTAGGGTAACTTTTCCCATTTTTAATAGAGTTTCTACAATATTTGTTTCTTATTAAGTTTTTCTTTAAGTATTACATATCGTAACTGTGATGCAACAAAATAACTTTTTTCCCCTAGTGGCTTGCTGCTGGTTTTAGAAACTTACATTTTTGTTATTTAATATTTGGTGGTCACTGATTTCTTAATAATTCCAGTTGTTTTTATTTGGTGATCTTTTTCCCTAGGAAAACAAAAGTATCAGAGGTACAATGAGTGTACTTTATCTATAATGATTATTTTCCTAAATGAAAAAACATTTATTGCTTTTCCTATGACTTTATAAATGGGAGCTTATGAAAAATTCAAGCAGGCTCAGAGTTATGCTATTAAATCGACAGAATAGGAAGTCCCAGACCTGGTTCCTCCACAGATATAGATTTAACAATATCTGAACCAAAATACCTCTATGAGAATTGCAGAATCCAGTTAAAAAGTTGCAAGCACAAAGGCAAGCACAACGCTGAGAATAGCTGCATTAAAATGGGTAAGAAGAGCAATTCCACTTTACTCATGCCAGCCCAGCTCAGTGCCAGGAGAGACCACCCTGGCTCATAAGTTCTCCCTTGAGGGAAAGGAGTAAAGTGGAGCATGCATGCAAAATTCTGGCTTTTTGGAGGGCTACCTGATGGGCTGGTTTCTGCCTAGCTTCACCTGGAGCACTGATGGAGCCAACATAATTTGAATACCTGGAGGCCACCGAGAAAGTCAGGGGCAACTTGCTGCAGCCAGTACAGTTCAGTAAAGTCAGGAGAAGGAGCATACCCTGAGGCTTCCACCTTGGGAGGGAGAAGACTGGAGCATGTGTCTAGCATTCTGGCTTTTCAGAAGGGCACCAGAGGGACTGGTATTTGCCTTGCCCGATTCAGTGCACTAACAGGGACCAGCATACTTTGGATGCCTGGTCATTGCTGAGAACAAGGGAGAGTGGGGCAGCTTGCTGCTGTGGAACCAGACAGCAAAACAAGCAAGAGATTACAAGCTCCTGTAAAAGAGACTGGCAAGCCTCTAACTGTGCAATGGCACACACAGGCCCAAAGAAGTGCCATCCTGCCTCCTGCCCAGAAAGGTTTCAGAGGTCACCAGAATATCTAACCAGGCTTATCGGTCAGGTTTTCCTCCTAAACAAAGCCACTCTATACAGACTGGAAGAAGTAGCTGTTTTCTCAGGTGTGTGGATCTCAAAACGAAGTCATTATTTATACACACAAAGAAAAAGCACAGCCAAGTACAGAAACAAAGGTTAATGTCCAGAAATCGATCCTAAACAAATATAGGTATCAGTTTCTCCTATGTGCATACCTTCACAAGCTCCAACACTTCCCTTGCGTAGAACAATGTTAAAAATATGGAATACAGCCCTGGCTGGTGAGGCTCAGTGGATTGAGTGCTGGCCTGCAAACCAAAGGATCACCAATTCAATTCCCAGTCAGGGCACATGCCTGGGTTGCAGGCCAGGTCCCCAGTAGAGAGTGTGTGAGAGGCTACCACACACTGATGTTTCTCTTCCTCTCTTTCTCCCTCCCTTCCCCTCTGTCTAAAAATAAATAAATATATATTTTTTTTTAAATCTGGTATACACACTCCACATTCCCCCCTTGTTCATACAATCATAAATACATATGCAAATGCACACAGTTGCCTTCAATTCCTATTTTAAATTTTTTAATTTCATCACAAATATTTATAACTAATGATGAATATATTTTTAAAGCATACACTTGTGTAAATACAATCCAGTTTAAGAAATGGAATACATGGCTTAACTTTGATCTCTTTTGCAAACTTCTCTATGTTTCCTCCTTCCTGAAGTTACCAGATTTCTGAGTTTTATTTACCATATCCTTGTTTTTCATTATGTACCACTTAATATACAAAGTATAATTTATTCTGCCTCTTTAAAATTTTATGAATAGAATCATACTATATGGATATTTCTATGACTCTTTGCTCATCATATTTGTTTTTCACTGTAATTTTCACTGCTGTGTACTATTCCCCTATATAGGTATTTGACACTAATTATCCATTCTACCTTTGATGGGTATGCTTCATTTCCAGATTTGCTTCCTTTAAATTTTAATTATATTTTATTTTATTTTTAAAGATTTTATTTATTTTACTTTTAGACAGAGGGGAAGGGAGGGAGACATAGAAGGACAGAAACATCAATGTGTGGTTGCCTCTCACATGCCCCCTACTGGGGATCTGGCCCACAACCCAGGCATGTGCTTGATTGGGAATTGAACCTGGGACCCTTTGGTTCAGAGGCCAGTGCTCAATCCACTGAGCCACACCAGCCAAGGCTATAGTTTATTGATTGTGCTGTTACAGTTGTCCCAATTTTTCCCCCTTTGCCCCCCTCCACCCAGCATGCCCCACTCCCTCAGGCAATGCAACACTATTGTTCATGTTCATGGGTCCTGCATATAAATTCTTTGACTACTCCTTTCCTATACTGTACTTTATATCCCCGTGGCTATTCTGTAACTACTTATTTGCACTTCTTAATCCTCTAACCTCTTCACCCATTCATTCACCCCCTCCCATATGGCAATCATCAAAAAACTCCTCATATCTATGATTCTGTCTCTGTTCTTCTTTGCTTAGTTTTTTAGATTCAATTGTTGATAAATATATATTTATTGCCACTTGATTGTTCATAGTTTTGATCTTCTTTTTCTTAAATAAGTCCCTTTAACATTTCATATATTAATGGTTTAGTGATGATGAATTCTTTTAGTTTTTTTCTTGTCTGGGAAGCACTTTATCTGCTATTCGATTCTAAATGACATCTTTGCTGGGTAAAGCAATCTTGGCTGTATGTCCCTGCTTTTCACATCTTTGAATATTTCTTGCCACTCCCTTCTAGCATGCAAAGTGTCTTTTGAGGAATCAACTGATAGTCTTATGGGAACTCCCCTGCAAGAAACTAATTTCTTGCTGCTTTTAAGAGTCTCTCTTTATCTTTAACTTTTGGCATTTTAATTACTATGTGTCTTGGAGTGGACTCTTTACATCCATCTTGTTTGGGATTCTCTGTGCTTCCTGGACTTGCATGTCTGTTTCCTTGACCAAATGAGGGAAGTTTTCTTTCATTATTTTTCAAGTAGATTCCCAATTCCTTGCTCTTTCTCTTCTTCTGGTATTCCCCTTACGTGATACAATACTTGAAGTCATCCCAGAGGCTGCTTACACTATCCTAATCTTTTTTATTCTTTTCTCTTCTTATTGTTTGGAGTGTGTGTGTGTGTGTGTGTGTGTGTGTGTGTGCTTTCTTATGTTCCAAATCATTGATTTGATTCTCAGCTTCACCCACTGTACTGTTGTTTCCCTATAAATTGTTCTTTATTTCAATTAGTGAATCCTTCCTTTCTACTGGATCTTTTTTATGCTGTTGAGGTCCTCATAGATTCTTTGAGCATCCTCATAAATAGTGTTTTGAACTCTGCAACTGATAGATTGCTTATCTCCATTTTGTTTAGTTCTTTCTCTGGAATTTTGACGTGTTCTTTCATTTGGGCCATGTTTCTTTGTCTCCTCATTTTGGCAGCCTCCCTGTTTGTTTATATGTATCAGTTAGAGTTGCTATGACTCCCCATTCTGGTAGTGTGGCCTGATGTAGTAGATGTCCTATAGAGTCCAGTGGCATAGCCTCCCTTAACACCCACGCCAGGTACACAAAGTACACCCTTTTGTCTGAGCTGAGTACACTCTCTTCTTGTAGGTGAGCCTTGATTGCTGTTGGCAGGTTGATGGGAGGGATTTAACCAGGCCATCAGCTGCGAGGACTAGCTGTGACCACTGATGACCAACCTCCGCGCTTCATGGAGGATCAGCTGTGCAGGGGCAGGATGCTGGTGATCTGACATGGTCTGGAGCAGTACACCTGGTGCACAGGCTCTGGAGTTTCCCAAGTGCTACAGGCCAAGGTCAGCTCCCATCTGTGTTTTGCCCAGGGCCACCCTGCCCAGGCCACAGGGCAGTCTGAGATGGCTGCTACTTGTTCTGGGCTTGAGGCTTCCCAGGTGAAGCCAAGTGGTGAATGTAGGCCTGCTGTTATTAGGGGGGCCACTTAGCAAGAGGTATGGAGACTTGGGGTTCACTGAGGCTGGCTGTTTCTTGTTTGAGAGGTTTTAGAAATCCTTGTGTAGCATGAGCCAGGACCAGCCACTCACATGGAAAAGTCTCTGTTAACAGGTTAGATAGGCCTATAAGTTCGGTGGGACAGAGTCTCAGAGTCTCAGGGCAGTTTTCCAGGCACATATAGTGGCTGGTAGTCAGGGTGGGGCAGGTTAGGCAGGTTGATGGAGTCTCAGATACGATACTCGCCTGCCAGCCAGCGTTGTGGCTTTGGGGGAAGGTTAAGAAAAGGGACAATGGCCTCTTCCTGTCTTTCCGTCTGGGAGAAAGTTGTCCCCCAGCTGTTGCCTTGATGCCAGATTCTTTAGTTCCTCATGTATGCAACCAGTGACTTTCAAGCTGCTACTCCAGTGCTGGAGCTCAGAGGGAGTGAGTCTGAGTAAGTCCATGTGTGGGTACTCTCAGATGAGCTGCTTGGGACTCCAGGAGTTTCTTCCACTGACTCAGTCCCTGCTGGTATTTGCAGCCAGAAGTTATGGGGACTTATCTTCCTGGAACTGGAACACTGGGCTGGGTGGTCTGGTGTGGGGCTGGGACTCCTTGCTCTCAAGATATTCCTGTTGAATTTTTATCTACCACACATGGATGTGCGATCAGCCTCCTCCACATCTCTACCCCTCCTACCAGTGTGGATGGATGTGGCTTCTTTCATTCTGTAATTGTCAGACTTCCATTTAACTTGATTTCTGATGGTTCCGAGTGATCATTTTTCTATATTTTCATTGTAATTTTATGTGGTTACACAAGGAGGTGAGCCATATTTACCTATGCTACCATCTTGACTGGAGGAGAAGATTTATTTGTTACTGCAATATTAGTGAAAACAATACCATTGATTTTGATGACGGAGTGTTTTAGTGAATTTTAGTTGTAAAGAAGGCAGTTGGGGTGAAGCAAATAGAAGTCATCTAGACCTCTCCTCAGTTTGTTTCTCCTCCAAAAGCAAATAGACTTTTGGAGGAGAAACAAACAAAAAGTCAGAAAAAATTCCAATTTTCTCCCACAAACATTTAAGACTGTCTTCTGAAATTGTAATGGAAAAAGAAATTTTATCTTCTCTAATACTGCATCCATGAACTGTTCTTTATTTTCATCTACCATTTCAGATAGAAAAAAAATGTTGGTTAGAAGAAACTACAAATTTTAGTTTTAAAATTACCAATTGCAACAGACAAATCAAGTCCGGGGTAGGCAATGGAAGCCTGGTTTAGTATATGTAAAATGTAAGAAATGCAATGATCACTTTTAGAAATAAGACAAGTAGCTTTCTAATGAACTAATTATGTAATCTCAAACAGGTTCCTTGCCTTGCCTGACCTGTAGTCTAGGACATCTGACTTCCTAATTCTGGGCTCTGCTCTAATCTACCTACCTCTACAAGTGGGAAGTTATTTCTTTAATCCAGGTTGTTCCAGGTTATCTGCACAAGTTCCCTAAACATCACAGAAGAGTGGAAGCCTACCTCAGGCTAGATGTTACTTTGATTTCTTTTACTTTTATTTAAAAGTTATGTTGATTTGCATTCTTTCCCATAAAACAAAATATCTACATCTTTTGTCAGATAAATTGCAAATCTTTTTCTGAATCTTAAATTTGATGCTCCAAGAAGACATAGTAATACTATTTTATAGGTAATGAAACTGTGGATTATTGCTATGTATTATTATCACAACACAGACGCAGTTTTCCTGGCACATATAGTGGCTGGTAGTCAGATCATCAAACTAACACATACCAAACTAGAGAACACTGTACTGTTTTTCAATCCCAGCTGGACAGTAATACACTTTCCTCATCATCATGGTATGCACACCAAAGAAATGCCTATCAAAAAAAAAAAACCTCACAAAGATTAAGTCATCTCTAGTTACTACTAGTAATAGAAATACACAATGTGACAGACCTTCTCACATCTCTCTCAGTTCTACAGGACTTCCCACACATCCCCATGGACACGACCACTTACTGTTGCTTTCCAGCAGTGGCACATAATCTTTAACAAAAACTGCCTTACACCTAAGGAAATAACGATTCACAATGGCAAAAACTATTCCAAGAGTATAAACAACTCCACACAGGGTCCCAAAGAAGTGGATCCACAAATTCACTTAGAGCACAGGTGACAAACACAAGGCTTGCGGGCCATTTTATCCAGCCTGTACCTTGTTTCTACCCGGTGGTAGCACCGAGCTCTCACTTAACTGTTAAGGAGTAGTTATTTTTATACAGCCCTAAAATTACATTCAACCCTTTGAAGGCAACCAGAGGCTGATGTGGCCCCCAGTGAAAATTAGTCTGACACCCCTGACCTACAGCAAGACAACCCATCCATTCAACTCCGAGACCCTGCTCCAGTCTATCATACCCAGGTAATCTCGTGGCCTGCTTAGGGTCATTCCCATGGACTTGACCTGGGATGCCCAGCTCACTGAGGCCTAAGTCCCTGGTCATCCTCCATTCCCATTTTTGCCTGCTTTGGACTCCAGAGTGCATTCCTCAGCCTTCGCTGAAAAATTTTTGATTCGCCCTCAGCTATACCAAAGACACTTGGGCCTCCAGGCTCGCTCCCTACAACAAAGCCTAGATCTGCGGGTGGGCTTAGGAAAAGCGCCTTTGACAAGCTGCAGCGTGGGAGCATTTTGATGGTCCCAGTTTCCGGGATTCGACTGCTGTGGACTACATTTCCCAGAAGCCTCGGGGCACAGGTCTTTGGGGGCGGGGGAGTTCGACTGTGGTGAGATTTCGGAACAGCTGGGCTCCCAGCCTCTGAGGATTTTGTAGGTCTCGTTTCCCATAAGCCTCTGGGTCACTGGGTCCCTTTCAGCGTCCCCAAGTTCTTGGACTCCGCGAGGTGAGTTGGTCGCGTCCCGGGAAGTAATCAGCGCCTGGTGAGGATGGGAGGGCACAGCAGACTTTATTGAAGAGGGACTGGAGCAGGCAGTGAGGGTTGGTTGGCACTAGGAGGCGCTTGAGGTGAGGAGGCCCTTGTCGCGCCCGGGCGTATCTTGTCCAGAGCCTCAAGCCTGTGTGTTAGCGAGCCTCCCAGAAGGATGGTGTGCGTCTCGGTGATGGGGTGCTTAGCTTTTATTTGTAGGTGTGGTTCGATTTGGCTGTGGGCTCTAAGTTCTTTCTAGACTCCCTTAGGACCTGCCAAAGTTAAATGACCACACGAAAAGTCCTGTACTGAGTCCTAGACTGAACATTTCAAGCAGGAAGGTCTAGTTTTGGGATGAGAATGTTGCATCTGGAAGTGTCCTCGTGACAGGCGCTTGGGAAGACAGGCGCTTGGGAAGACGTGAGGGGGAGGTCCCACAGATAGGGCACCTGGAAGGGGCACCTCTCCTCGCTCCTTGGGGGCCAGCCGCATGCTTCAGAACCACTTCAACCAGACTTCAGTCCCCAAGTCTTGTTGTCAGCTTAGAGGTAGATTCCAGCCTCCCTTTGAATTTGATTTGGTTATGTGTGGATGAAGGCACATGTAGCCGGAGAGGGTGTTTGCTCTGTTTTTTATTTTTAGTTAAGTCTCTCTGCTCCAGGAAATGCTGCTGTCTCATGATTCCTCTTTCCACCCACTCCTGCCAGATTCCTAAGAAGGACCCTGAGGAGGAGGAAAGAATAGCTGCATGTATAGAAATCGAAGTTCAGGTTAGTGTTTCTTTTATATTCATACAATTACTTTATTTTTTTTATTTTTAAAGATTTTATTTATTTACTTTTAGAGAAGTCAAGGGAGAGGAAAAAAGAGAGAAAGAAACATCAATGTGTGATTGAACTCGTGCAGCCCCTACTGGGGACCTGATCAGAAACCCAGGCATATGCCCTGACTAGGAATCCAATTGACAACCCCTTGGCTTGCAGGCTGGCACTCAATCTACTGAGCCACACCAGCCAGGGTTTGTTTGTTTGTTTGTTTGTTTGTTTGTTTTTAAAGATTTTTATTTATTTTTAGAGAGAAGGGAAGGGAGGGAGAAAGAGATGGAGAGAAACATTGATTGGTTGCCTCTGGAACACCTCCAACTGGGGACCTGGCCTGCACCCCAAACATGTGCCCTGACCAGGAATCGAACCAGTGACCTTTGGTCCATGGGGCAATGCCCAACCTATTGAGCCACACCAGTCAGGGCTCATAGAATTACTTTTGCTTTTAGATCATGAAAATGTTTGCTTTCCTTGCCCTGAACTATCCTGGCAAGTAGTATCTGCCATGGGTTCTTCCTTCTGGTGAGTGACCCATCCTGCTGATGCATCCCTCTTCCCAGTGGTCCATATTGTCCTTCAGCTAATAGCCATCTGTTTATATGGCACATTGTTCAAATCTTTCAGTGCGTTCTCCCTAAGTGTTCTGAAGATACAGAAATACACCTCCTGGAGATTACTGTTAGAGCTTTATTTTAGAGTATGATTACTTGGGGAGATTAGTATTTAGATAGTATGGTATACAGACTATTTTTTATCCTCTCCACAGTGATAGTTTTTTAAAAATCCTCACCTGAAGATATGGTTATTGATTAGAGAGAGAGGAAGAGAGGGAGAGAGTGAAGAGGTAGAAAGGTGTAGCCACACTTGTCCAGCATCTGCTCTGTACCAAATATATATGTTTGTGTTGTGTTTCTATTTATGAGTATATATTTCCTTCCTCAGATTTTAAAGGTGACTTACATAATTCATGTTCATTTACAGGAGAATCTTGACAGTGAAAGTGTCTAATTGTAGAGGTGAGCTATAGCCACAGGATATTCAAGAACCGGTCATTTGTTTCAGGCCCATCAGTATTGGGCTTGTTTGTTTAGTTTTTTCTTTTTTAAAGATTTTATTTATTTTATTTTTGGAGAGAGGGGAAGGGAGAAAGAAATAAATGGAGAGAAATATTGATGTGTGAGAGAAACATCTATTGGTTGCCTCTTGCACACCCCCAACTGGGGACCCAGATTGTGAACCAGGCATGTGCCCTGACTGGGAATTGAACCAGTGAGCTTTCACGTTGCAGGCCAGTGTTCAACCCACTGAGCCACAACAGCCAGGACTGTTTAGTTTTCTCAATGACTACAAAATACCCTTTCCCTGTCACTCAATATTTTACATTTGGAAATACCTTTGTAGTTTTGATTATGGAATTAATACAGGTTTGTTGCAAAAAAAATCATTAATCCACAAAACATATGAAGTAAAAATTATGTCCTCTTAATTGTTCTTAGTATTCTGGTGTGTTTTACTCAGTTTTTTTCCCTGTAAGTCTATGTGTCTCGTTTTGTTTCTGCAGAATGAAATCACAGTAATTGGTGATATAATTGAGTTGAAGATTCTAGTTTTTAGTTTGAAAATGAAATCCAACCCAGACACAGGTTTTATTTTAATCTTGAGAATCTAGAAAGAAGAGGGAAATGCCAGTGATTCCTTTCTTATTTGAAAATTTTCAAATATTTACAACTTTTAGGAGTATACAAATGCCATTTAAAAATTGATGGCCAGGTAATGGAAAAAATACAATAAAATCAATAAATAGATAAATGATTACCAGCACAATAAAGACAGACATTCAGAATTAGATTATTTTAAAAGTTCCTTCCACGGAGAATAGCAATAGTCTCTAATGTACAGCCATCTTACAGAAATCTATTTTACAAATAATATTTTCAAGAACAGATATTAATACCAAAAGATAGAATAAGAAGGTTATAGTTTTAAATATTCAAATAAGCTACCAATTTGCACAGAAGAGCCAGATTCAGCTTGGTTAATGTTCTCAGCTTGACATCTAATTGGGTGTGTTTTCTAAGCCAGCTTCAGGGTGCCTAATTTTGTCTCTTCATCTGCAGCTTCTGGAAGGAGGGAATATTTTCTCTTAACCTTTTTAAGAACTGGTTTTGCTCATCTTATTATTTAGGAAGAATGGTGGGCTCAGGGCTGGACTGTGAATTTTTAGTTAGCATTGTAAGAAAGCAGGCCAGAGAAGCACAGATTTTATCATGAGACAATGGAAAGAGTGGCATTAATTTCCTTTATTATAATGCAATAAGGGACAATAATCTTTATTTTCACTAATGGCTAAAACTTGTATCAAGCAATAATTGTACACCATTTTATTTGGTCTTTCTTACTTAATCTTCAATGCAACCATCCCTGGTAAACACTGTTTTTACCCCTGTGTCATCTGATTTCTCAACAGCGATGTTGAGAAATTGGTAACTGTCAAGCTCAAGTGTGCTACCAGATCCTTTATCTTAATTTTGCATACACTTCACAAATTATGTATTCTTTAAAACACCTGCTTACCTCATTAAGAAATTGATTGTGCATGTCTTTCTTTGTCAATTAATGTGGTCCAGGACCATCATAACTAATGAGGATGGAGTGGGCCATAATTCATTAAACCTTTTGTCCAGTATTACATAGCTTCTCATTCTTGTTTATTGTGAATGATTTTTGGTTGAATATTCTTGTATATGTTTTGTACATTTCCATTACTATTTAAGGATACATTTCTAGAAATGTGTTTTTGAGTAAAAATTTGTCCCAAATGTAAGACCCTGAGATAGTAGTACTTGGGAGGATATACAATCACTAAAAAATAGTTGTTACCTTTAAGGTAAGAAAGATGAAATATGTATAGGAATAAGTGTAGGGCAGGTAGCAACAAAAGCCAATAGGGAGTTCAGATGACTTTTCATAGAAACTCATAGGAAGGTGATTGTAGGCAATACTATTAGGTCATGACCAACTTCTTAGAAGCAAATGGAATTTATCCTGAGAGTATTATCCTTATAGTTTTTTATCCTACTAATGTTAGTTGCAAATTGACACTGGTAGGATCTGGTAATTCAGTAGTTATCCAGAGGGTCTAAAAAGACAAATTTCAGATACAGAATAAATCCATCTGTCAGAAGACATGAAAAGAAGCAGGATCAAGACCTCTCAATATACCCATGAGATTTTGAGAATTTCAACCATTTTTTCTAGGTAGGACAAACATAGAAATCATATAGTTATAATGCATGGCCATTGTTACAATTCTGCAGGATACCAAAACAAAAACATCATTGTGATCATAATACATTATTATATATAGCTGTATAACTTCCCAAACATTTTTAAATCTATTGGTGTCTGATTATCAGTCTTTATATATTGATACATATATACTTTTTAAAAAGATTTTATTTATTTATTTATTTTTAGAGAGAGGGGAAGGGAGAAGGAGAAAGAGAGGGAGAGAAACATCAATGTGTGTTTGCCTCTTGCACATCCCCTACTGGGAACCTGGCCAGCAACTCAGGCATGGGCCCTGACTGGGAACTGAACTGGCAACCCTTTGGTTGGCAGGCCCACGCTCAGTCCACTGAGCTACACCAGCCAGGGCTACATATATTTTTTAAATGTAGTCATACTATTTACATCATGTAACCTGTTTTTTCTGTGGACAATATATTTTGATTATTTTCCCAACTTAGCATAGCATAGTTTCATAGCGTTCCATCACATGGATATTCTGAGTGCATTAAGTGAAATTTTGGGGCACAGGCAATTCCCTGAGCAATTGTTTGTATATCCTGTATGCTCCTGTGTCCTGATCAATTCTCTTCAGTCTTGAACCCATGGAGGATGTTCTAGTCCTGGGCCATATCGCCCATTCTCAGTCCTGACAGGTGGGAATGGAGGGAGGAGGATCTGATCTGGGGAAGACCAAGTAGTCCAATCTCAGGCTCGTACCAGCATACCCAGAACTGGGCACTGCAAGAAGCCTTCCTGCTGAAGGACCTGGGGCTTTTAGGTGTGAGTTTAGATTCCACAAAAGGTGTATAGGGTGCAATTAGCTTGAGTCAGGATGGGATCAGTTAAGCACACCTGATCTAAAGCTTCTTTTTCCTTCCCCAGCTCTGGCTTTTCTGGACTCTGTGCTTTACCAATAAAGGAACCCTATGGAACACTAAGTAATCCTTGCAATCATAGAACCATGACTGATGTAAGTTGGTAATTTCTCTCTCCTTGAAACACAGTGATTTTTAGTTCGTGTGAATCTTTTCCTTAATTATCCTAAAGCTTTCTACCTAACAGAACCCGACCCTGGACTCGTTCTCAGCTTCTCCTATTCCAGCGAAGGACGGTACCAAACACCCAAGCGCCCTTCTCCCTATGTGCTGTTTTCAGTCAGTTTCATCATATTCACTGAACACATTATTCCACATCTCCTGTGTGCTTGGTCATCTCTCAAGAACAGTTGAAGAATGGAGTCTTTCGTGGGAAATACTTCAGCTTCTGTCATAGAATAACTCAAATATAGTTAACAGTTAACACACTTTTACTTATAAGGAAAACCAATAGTAGATTGGCTTTATCTATTAAAGCACAAGCAGGATTTGTATAAGAGAAGGAGGAAAGAGGAGAGAATGAAAGACAGGAGACAGTTGGAAAACAACAGTTTCTGCTGTTCAGGCTAAGATGCTGACTGGCAGGATCTAGGAAAGAAGCCGGTCAGTGCACTGTTCCCTTAAACAGCTGGATGGCCTCCAAGCAGGCCGTGTCAGTTGTGTGTTTCTGGAAGAGCTTTGGTGTTTCGCTGTGGCATACCCACAGCAGGCTGTCTGGGTGGTGCCCTTCGTCATCACTTCCCTCTTCATGCCACCAGGGCTGCACCATTTCCTTATCGTAATCTCTCATGCACTTGTCAGGTCTGTGGTGTGAAGAGCTAGTGATGAGGGTCTCACTGGGCCACACAGAAAAGCTTGGAACTTCTTCACAGACCTGAATTTTCCAGGAGGTTCCAGTGGAATTTGGGATTCCTTGGTCTCAGCCTAAGTTTATTTGTGATCACATGCTTTGCAAGGCTTTCAGGATTAGAGGGAGAGTCAGTGGTTCTTTCCAGGGCTCCCCTAATTGTTGAACACCAGTATCAAAGTCCATTTGTCACTGACAGGACGTGTAGGTCTTGGGTGACATCTGTTAGGTGCAATATCCTATATCAATATCCTCCAATTAGGGAACAAGGAAGGTGTTAAGTGATGGCTATTTGATGGTAACAAGAAGTTACTCCAGGTTCTTAGTACTATATGGTAATAGATTTCCAGAATTAAGAAGATCTTTAGAAGTTTTGTTCAAACTAAGTCTATAAATATAATAGAGTTATTAATCTCACATATCCAAATGATGAACTGAACTATAGCTAATAAAATATTTTATATATTCATCATAATAAAAAATTCTTATGATATAATCTAATAGAATGATTTACTTAAGATTTAAGGATAATTCTTAGTGGAAATAATTTTTCTGAGAGATATAGTGTATTTCGAAAAATTTTTTCATGTTTTTTTCCATATTTAAAGGGAAAAGATGTTATAATAGTTTACATTTTAGTTTACGTAATAGTTTACATTTATAAAGAATTTAGGAGGCAGGCACATAGCAGGATGTGTGTATGCAAATACACCCATAAACCTCCCTTTCTCCCCTCCATTATTATTCTTTAAAAGACCAGAAAATGGGATTATTTTATATATTATCAGACAGGTCAGGAGAGCTGAGTTAATCTCACAGTATCCAGGAAGTTTTTCTTGCTATAACGGGATTCTTCTGGAACATGTTGAAACTCTGCTTTAATCATACTAATTTCCTTACTTTTTCCAACCCAAACATATCACAGACTTCCAGTCCACTTGATTGTTATATTTTCCTCCTCTTGCAGTTTATCCTTCACAGCCTCTGTTTTCCTCCTGGAAATATTTTCTTAAATTTTTAAATTTCTTTAATTGTATGAGTCATGTGTGGATTTTTGGTTTTAGAGGTTGGTGACGTTCAGGGATGTGGCCATCGACTTCTCTCAGGAGGAGTGGGAGTGCCTGGACCCCGCTCAGAGGGACTTGTACGTGGATGTGATGTTGGAGAACTACAGTAACTTGGTGTCACTGGGTAAGGTCATCTGCCTGAAATCATTTAGAATCTCCTTTCTGCAACATCAGCTTTCTTCCTTGGGATTGCAAGGCTACCTTTGAAGAAACAAGGTGAATTTCTTCTCCCTGTTCTCAAAGGAATGTTTTGTTATTTGTTGGGTTGGAAATGGGTTCATTTCCATCCCTTTGTGAGCTTCACACCTTCCACTTTCTTGCAGTGAATGACCCCTCTTTTTAATGACCAACGAGCTAGATTCCTATTATGGGGCATTTATTTCATAACCATTGTGAGAGAAACCAGGTTTTGTTCTATGTTTAACATCAACATTTCCATAAATAATGTGTCCTTGCTACTCAAAGGGTGTTTCTTTTGTTTGAGGAACCGTAAGAAGCCCAGAGCAAAGTAGTGAAGGAGAGAGTGTCAAGAATTAGTGAGGAAGACAGGCAGGGTCCAGATGATAGCCCATTTTGTTGGTTTTGGAGGAGAATGTAGATTGCTTTCTCGGTGATTAGAAGCCATGATTTGGTTTATATGGGGTTTAAACTTTTTTATTGTTAAGCATTACATAATAATTATAGCTGCTTCTGGGGCTTATTACAAATGTAGCTTGTCAGTTCCCCAGATCTGCAGGACAGAATCTGCATTTATGCAAGATTCCCAGGTGGTCTTCATGCACATTAAAGAATCCCTGACCTTTGTTCCTGTCCAACCCACATGCGGAGAGTATAGCTAGGAACAGGGCTCTGATATACTCAGACTTTCAAAAGAGCCTCTTCACTTTAGATAGTGGGGGGTTGAATGAATAGAATTCATTTCATACTAAGCGAATGCATTCCTTTACTTACAACAAATTTGGAGTTGAAAGTTAAAATCTGAGCTAACTCCTAGAAATGTCTCATGAAACATTGTTTTCCTCTTAGCAAAAAAACAATGGTAACAATATTAATAGTTAACAGTATACTTACTATAAACCAGGCTTTGTTCTAAGTAGAACGCTTAGATTAACTTATTTAACTTTCACAACATCCCCATGAGATAGATTCTATCTTTAGCTGAGGCACATATAGTTTAAGTGACTTCTCAAGGTCACAGAGCTGGTGGGAAGCAATAGCAGTGATTGAACATAGGAAGTCTGGCTCCAGAGCTTGTGTTCTATTTTGCTCTAAAGAGATGAAGCCTGGATGAGTCTCGGACAAGATCATGTGTGATGTCATGATCTTTATTCCCATCATCCTTCTCTTCTATAAAGTCTATATCAATATTATTTTACCTTTACTTCATTGACAACTAACCAAATATTTTAGCTTAGAATGGTCAGATGTGACAACATTACTGGAGCAAGGAAGAGAGCCCTGGATGGTTGTGAGGGGAGGGCCAAGAAGTTGAAACCCAGGAAAGCAAAGGCGAGAGAGAACCAACATTGCAGGGAACAATCTCACGGGTCACAGAAAAGGAGAAAGACCAACATCTGGAATGACATGTGGAAAGGTCGCTACAAAGGAGCAAGGTCTATAGAGTGAAGAAGGCCCGACACCTGGGAGGAAACTGAGATCCTACTCTGGACTACCAAAGCAACTTCTTCTTTGTCTCATTTCCCACCCTCATTTTTCTTTTCTTTTCTTTTTTAAAGATTTTACTTATTTATTTTTAGAGAGGGAAGGGAGGGAGAAGGAGAGAGAGAGAGGAAGTATCAATGTGCGGTTGCTGGAGGCTGTGGCCTGCAACCCAGGCATGTGCCCTGACTGGGAATCGAACCTGAAATGCTTTGGTTCGCAGCCCACGTTCAATCCACTGAGCTACACCAGCCAGGGCTACACCCTCATTTTTCTTCTCACAGTCCCCTCACATTTCACTGAGGAAGGTGTTATTTTTTTATTTCCAGTGTAACCATTTTGCTTATAGATCCGCTTTCCAGCTCTTTTGCATTTCTCCCTGTGTGTGAGTAAATATATGCATTCATTCATAAATTCTGCAAATATTTTGAGTGCCTACTCCCAGCCAGGCATTGTACCATCATGAACAAGACTGATAACTTACCCATTCTCATGCAGTTTATGTCATCAAGGAGAAATATTAAATAAATAAATAAATAAATAAAATCTCATGATTGAACATGTTGTTCAGGAAAAGTCAGTGGTGTAAGAGAATACAAAATGATGGGCTAATTCAGATAAGGCAGTCCGGGAAAGGTTTCTTGTATAGACACATGACGCCTGGGGTCAAATTATATGAACTTCTGGGAGACGGATATATCAGTCACAGTCAACAGCAAATGCAAGGCACCATGGTTGAAAGGCACTTTACCGCAGGACCTGTAAGGCCAGAGCAGAGTTAGCAAAGGAGGTTGTCCTGAGACATTTGGTCGGCAAATAGGCATGGGTCAGATAGTACACAGTGTTGTCGTTGTTTTGGGAATTTGGGTTGTTTAGTCTCTTGCTCGGTAACCGTTTCTATGTCTTTCCTTGACTCGAGTTCCTTGCTGCTATTGAGGACTGCAGGGTGGTTGTTTTGTACAGTGTTCTTCAGTGTGGGTTTGTCTGCTTTTTCCTCATGATTAGATTTATATAATGCATATTTGGCAGAAATGTCACAGAATTGATTCTTTGTTCTTGCATCCTGTCAGGTAGTGCGAATGATTTGTCGTTACTGCTGATGCTTCCTGTGAGCAATTGATTAAGGTTGTGTTTGCCGGCTTCCTTCCTGTAAAGTTAACCTTTTTTTCCTTTAGTGAGTATTTTGTGAGAAGGAATTTTGAGACTATTAAATATTGCATTCTTTGTCCAGCTTTCAGTTTATTTATATTTTGGATTTCTAGTCAGTGGATTATAATCTGTTCTCATTATTCATTTTGATGTTCAAAATATTTGAGCTTATCCCATATTTGACTGTTGGGAACCCTGTCTTGATGGCTTCTATGTCCTTCTACATATCTCCATCACTCTAAGCAGGTCCTTATTTTCTGACACAACAACATGTTCCTGGCTCATCTCGTTTTTTTCCCTATTCCAGGCTTAACGTCAACCATTTCTTTAAGGTGCTCTGCTTCCTTTTAGTCGAGAATGGTATTTAGAAGCCAAAACCTGGGTACTAGGTTTGCTATTGCTGCTGAGGGATGGCTGCTCCCAGGCCCTCTCGGTGGACAGAACTAGACAATATACTTACATACTACATGCACACACATTTACTTCTATGTATTGAAAACCTTGATTTCACATGGGTATCTCCAATTCCAGTTGAACACTGCAGGTTTCATTTCAATTTATTCACTTTCTGAATTTCTAACTGCCTTCTCTGGCAGTAAAAAACCAGACTTCCATTATCTTTAATATATTTATTTATCTAATCAAACTCTTTGTCTGTAACCAGACTTCCATTACCAGCTCCACCTTAGCCATGTGATTGCTCTTCTCATCCCACCTGGGCTATGACAACCTATGCCAGTTCATACACAGAGGGTTGTCCTCATCCTGCTTGTATTCTGACTTTCTGCACAGGACAACCCTTTTTATGTTGAAACCCTCCCACACAGGTTGACCTTCAATGCCCTGCTCTAGGTTTTATTTTATTCAATCCTGACCCTTGAGTGTGCATTAATATTTTGTGTGATAAAATAGGAAATATGTATTAAGTTCTTCTGCTGTATACTAAAGTGTGATGATTGCATTGAGGAAAACTACTTGGGCAGTTGTTTGAATTGTGAGTTAAACTAACTTTTTTTATGGAGCACCATTTTTTTTTCCTTGAAAGAATGACTAACGGACTCACTATGGTTATCCAGACTTAGGCAGTTGGAAAACCTTTTCTTGCAAGTCAGCTTGTCATTTCAAGAACAACTGTTTGTTCTTGTCAAGCAAACTGTCAAGTAAAAATTAGAATTGTATGAAACTTATATCCACCATTCTGAGCCTTATAGCTTCTCAGTACATATATAGAGATAGGTGGTAATATTAACATGTGTTTTTTTTGGTATTGTATAGTGAAATATGCCACCCCCTCAAAGATCTGTACAACTCAGTGAACTACTTTTCAAATGACAATGCATGATGTTGCAAAATTCTGCATGAATAAAAGATCATTCAATGTGTCATGGATTTTAATGTAACATAGTATGAAAAGCTCATGGGTATAGTTGCATATTCCACATTGCAGTTAACCTTTAAGAAACTACCACTTCTCAAATTTTCCTGTAGTGTCAAGGAAAACATCGACAATTATCTGAACAGGCTCATAAAATATTCTTCCATTTTACAATTTTATATCTGTGAGAGGTTGGAATTCCTTCATATACTTCAACCAAAATAGCATTGTCACAGATTGAATGCAGAAGCAGATATGAGAATCCAATTGTTTTCCATTAAGCCAGATATTAAAGAGATTTACACAAGATTAAAACGATACTTCATTAATTTTTTTTATTTTGGAAATTATAATTTTTTAAAGATTTTATTTATTTATTTTTAGAGAGGGAAGGGAGGGAGAAAGAGAGAGAGAGAGAAACATCAATGTGCGGTTGCTGGGGGCCATGGCCTGCAACCCAGGCATGTGCCCTGACTGGGAATCGAACCTGCGATGCTTTGGTTCGCAGCCCACGCTCAATCCACTGAGCTACGCCAGCCAGGGCTAATATAATTATTTTTTTATAAATTATGTTAACATTTAATGATTTTAAACACTGCTAAGCCTCACAGAAACCGTTAAAGTACTAAGCAATTACAATGCAAGCCCTTATATGTCAATTCAAACTTATTGAACTATCTGTTGATGCTGTTCTACAAAGCTATACTCCACACGTGGAATTGAGCTGGGACTAGGTCATAACTTTCATTAGTTTCAGTTCATTTCTTCTTTTGAAGTTGATTGAAAAAGTCTTTCTTTGCTTTAAATTTCCCATATGACCCCTGATGGGCTAACCTCTTTGACTATCATGATATGAGCTGGGCGGTTGTGTTACCGCTTTAGTTAGTTTTGTTTCACTTCTTGTTTGAGCTTCAGCAGAGTCTTGGAATATTAACTGCTCAAACTGCAAGATTTTGTCTGCTTTCTAGCCCAAGACCAACCACTCAGAAAAATTTCTGTGAGGGAGAATTATCTAGTTTAATGAAGTTGTTTTTAAATGTGGAGATTTTTCTGGGTTCCAGTTCATCACGCCAGCCTACACAGTCATTAAAAGCTAGAACCACACTGGGCACAGAAGGGCTTGATTGATATAGGGGTGCATTTTGATTTAAGGGAAGAACCATCTATACCATCTACACAGGAAGCTGAGGGACTTGTTAAAGCTATGTTTGTTGAATCCTCCCCCAAACTGTCAAATCAGAACTGATTATAAGAGCTGAGCCCTGGCTGGTGTAGCTCAGTGGATTGAGTGCCGGACTGTGAACCAAAGGGTTGTGGGTTCAGTTCCCAGTCAGGGCACATGCCTGGGTTGCAGGCCAAGTCCCCAGCATGGGGTGTGCAAGAGGCAACAACACATTGATGTTTCTCTCCCTCTCTCCTTCCCTTCCCCTCTCTGTAAAAGTAAATAACAAAATCTTTAAAAAAAAGATTATAAGAGGTGAAAAATCAAAGCTGAGCTTAATGAGGAGAGACTTGAGGCTTAGAAGTTCAGTAAGTCTAGTAATCCAATTCACTTATGGGCATTATTTTCAATTTGTCTTTTATTTTTACTATAGAGGGCAATTCTCTGGTAGAGGAAATAAAATATGTGGTTTTCTGGTTTTCTTTCAGATTTGGAGTCAACACATGAGACCAAAAATACCTTTTCAGGAAAGGACATTTCTGAAATAAATTTTTCTGAATGGGAGATCAAGGAAAAAAGTAAAACCCTTGACATTGTGACATCCATTTTCAAAAATAATTGGAAGTACAAAAGCAAAGTTGAGGGACTACAGGAATATCAAGAAAAATACTTCAGTCAAATAATAATCAGTTATAAAAAAATTCCCACTTACAAAAATAGTAAATCTCTTATTTCCTATCAAATAATTCATAATCCAGAGAAATCTTATGTTTGTAAGGAATGTGGGAAGACTTGTAGTCATGGTTCAAAACTTGTTCAACATAAGAGAACTCATACAGCTGAAAAACACTTTGAATGTAAAGAATGTGGGAAAGACTTTTTTAGTGCCTATCAACTCACTGTGCACCAGAGATTTCATACTGGTGAGAAACCCTACAAATGTAAGGAATGTGGGAAGACCTTTAGTTGGGGATCAAGTCTTGTTAAACATGAGAGAATCCATACTGGTGAGAAACCCTATGAATGTGAAGAATGTGGAAAGGCATTCAGTCGTGGCTACCACCTTACTCAACATCAGAAAATTCATATTGGTGTGAAATCTTATGAATGTAAGGAATGTGGAAAAGCCTTTTTCTGGGGCTCAAGCCTTGCTAAACATGAGGTAATTCATTCAGGTGAGAAACCTTATAAATGTAAAGAATGTGGGAAGGCATTCAGCCGTGGCTATCAACTTACTCAGCATCAGAAAATCCATACTGGTAAGAAACCTTATGAATGTAAAGTATGTGGAAAGGCTTTCTGTTGGGGTTATCAACTTACTCGACATCACATATTTCACACAGGCAAGAAACCCTATGAATGTAAGGAATGTGGGAAGACCTTTAATTGTGGTTCAAGTCTTGTTCAGCATGAAAGAATTCATACTGGTGAGAAACCCTATCAGTGTAAAGAATGTGGAAAGGCCTTTAGTCGTGGCTATCACCTTACTCAACATCAGAAAATTCATAGTGGTGAGAAACCTTTTGAATGCAAGGAATGTGGGAAAGCCTTCAGTTGGGGCTCAAGCCTTGTTAAACATGAGAGAGTCCATACTGGTGAGAAATCCTATGAATGTAAAGAATGTGGAAAGGCCTTTGGAAGTGGGTACCAACTTACTCGACATCAAATGTTTCATACTGGTGAGAAACCCTATGAATGTAAGGAATGTGGGAAGGCCTTTAATTGTGGTTCAAGTCTTGTCCAACATGAGAGAATTCATACTGGTGAGAAACCCTATGAATGTAAAGAATGTGGGAAGGCCTTTAGTCGTGGCTATCACCTTACTCAACATCAGAAAATTCATAGTGGTGAGAAACCTTTTAAATGCAAGGAATGTGGGAAAGCCTTCAGTTGGAGTTCAAGCCTTGTTAAACATGGGAGAGCCCATACTGGTGAGAATTTTTATAAATGTAAATGTTGTGGGAAAGCCTTTGGTAGTGTCTATCGACTTAGTGTTCATGAGAGTTTTCATACTGGTGAGAAACCTCATCAATGTAAGGAATTTGGGGAGAGTTACTCATGGCTCAAGCCTTGTTCAACATGATAGAACTCATAGTAATGATAAACCAACCATATAAATATAAAGAATGGGGACTTCTTTATACAGACAGCTTACTCAAATAAAACATTTGATACTGGTGAAACTTAAAGATTGAAAAGATGTAAAAACATTGTTTTGTGGGTGGACAATTTAACAAATGGGGAAATCTTACCCTTGAGAAACCTTATGAATGTAGGGAATGTGCAAAAGCCTTATCTGTGTATGGACAATTTGCTTGATATCAGGAAACTCATACTTAGTGAGAAATAGTTTGAATATAAGAAGTATGGAAAGGCCCTTAGATTTCTACATGATCTTATTGAACATCAGTTTATATTGATTTGAAACCATTTAAATGAAAGGAATATATCTTTATTCATAGCACAGAGTCTGAGAAGCATTGGAGAATTTATATTCATTAGGAACACTTTAAAGAATGTGGAAAGAACCTAAATTTAATTCAGTTCTATGCACATCAGAGAATTTATACTTCTGTGAAATCCTATGAGTATAAGGAGTGTGGGGAGTGTTATAGATGTGGCAAACATCTTAGGGTACCTCAGAGAATTCGTCCAAGTGAGAAACTCTTTGGATAAAAATGTAGGAACAGTTTTAGACAAATGCCACTCCAACTGTTGTCTAGAGATTAGTGCCAGTCTACAAAACTGTTACCCATCCATCATGACATAAATGCAGAAAATGAGAGTAAATGTTTGAGAACTTTTATAGCAATTTAATGTTACCACAACATCATTGCATTTTACAGAAGTATCAATTAGTCTGTGAATGACTGGAAGTTAAAAGCAAAAGTTTGCCCTCACCCAGAAGTAATTGAGAATGTCCACACTTTAAAAACTATGACACAGGTTATGTGATTTAATCAGAACAAGAAATCCCTCATTTGTCCCCTCTCTGATTAGAAAAGCAGAATATTCATACTATAGGAAGATTTGGCTAATGTAGGAATTGCAACTTCTTTATGCCAATAAAAGCATAGAGAATTTGTATCAAGTATGTTTACTTAGTAAATGTATGGAAACCTTCTAACACTATTCAGTCTTTGTTAAACTTCAGCAGATTCATTCTAGAGAATAACCCTGTTAATGTAACAAAGGTAGGAAGCCCCTTATCCATGGCATAACCCATACTGATATATCACCAATCCACCTCACTACCTGTGAGATATTGGGCAAAATGTTTGTCCTTTCTGGGCATCATCTTTAATATGCTGCTAATGGTAACTATTTAATAGTGAATTGTAGAGAATGGATGGGTCTATATGCATCAGGTCCTTGAAGAGTTTCTGGAATGTAGCCTATGCTCAATACATATTAGCTGTTCTTATTATCCTCATCGTTAGTATTAAATACTAGTGAATTCTTAGGAGATGAATGCTCATTGGTATAATTAATCTAGAAAAGCTTTTCATAAACATTTATTAATTTGAACTTCAGATAGTCCATTCTGGATAAAATTTAACCTAAGAATATAATAACCTAAGAGTATTTTAATTCAGAATTTATTCCTTAAGCTGCATAAGAAATTAAGGGTGAAAATAAACATGGATTTAACAAGTGTTAAAATGTTGGGGATATGCCTGAAGAACCAGGGAGAAGTGTGAAGCAATTTGCCTCTAATGAATTCCAACAGACAGGTAGGCAATAATTAAAATTCTTTGTTTACATTTCAAAATAATTAGAAATTACAAAGAAAAATATTGTCCATTTGTAATTTTCCCCCCAAAATTTCACAACAATTTTCAGGCATTCAGAGAAGTCTAAGAATAGTATAACATACTCTCTATCTAGAATCAATAATTGTTACCATTTGGCTATATTTACTTTCTCCCTCATACAATGGACCATCATTCAGCTTTAAAAGGGAAGGGAGTTCTGACACATGCTACAACAGGGATGAACCTAAAGGGCATTATGCTAAATGAAATAATTGTATCACAACAAGATAAATACTGTATGATTCCATTTATAGATGTACTTAGAGGAGTCAGATTTATAGAGACAGAATGTAGAGTGGTGGTTGCTGGGGGCTAGGGAATGAGGAATGAGAAGTAATTATTTCAGTTTTGCAAGGTGAAAAGAGTTCTGGAGATGAATGGTGGTGGTGGTTGCACATCAATGTAAATGTACTTTACCACTGAACTGTACATTTAAAAATGGTTAAATGGTACGTGTTCTGTTATATATCTTACCAACATTTAGAGAGACAAAGAAAATCCAGAGGTGCACAGAAACGGAGAATTCCTTCAATGGAATCACCAGTAGACTGGGTATGGCCAAAGAAAGAATCAATTAACTTGAAGATATGTCAATAGTCTTCTAAACTGGTCACAAAGAAAATAAATGGAGAAAAGAAAAGAAAAACGATCCTGGCCAGTGTGGCTTAGTGGTTTGAGCATCATCCCAGAACCAAAAGGTTGTAGTTTTGATTCTTGGTCAGGGCACATACCTAGGTTTTGGGTTTGATCCCTGTTCTGGGCATGTACAATCCCCAGTCCAGGCACATATGGACACAATCGATGCTTCTCTCTTGCCTGGATGTTTCTAGCTCTCCCACTGGGCCTTCCTCTCTCTTTAAAAGCAATGAAAAATATATGTCCTTGGATGAGGATTTTTAAAAATAGAACAGAATATTTTAAAACTTAGGGATAAATGTAGAAGGTGTAACGTATGTATAATTGGGATAGAGGGAGAAGAAGAAAGAGAAAGGAGCAGGGAAAAAATATTGAATTAATAATGGCCAAGAATTTTTGACAATAAGAGACATCAAACCACAGTCAAGAAAGGTTTGGGTAAATACCAAAAACTACACCAAGGTGTATCATCTTAAAACTTCAGAAAACCAAAGACCAAAAGAAAATCTTGGAAAGAAGCCAGAATTTGGGTGTTGGCAACTAACCTATGGAGACCCAAGGGTGAAAATTAAATCATTTCAGAAAACATGCAAGCAAGGATAAAATGGGGTGAAATATTTAAAGCATTGAAAGAAAGCCCACCAACATAGACTTCTATACCAGGTGAAATTCTTCCCTCAAAAGTGAAGAAGAAATAGACTTTCTCAACAAGCAAAAATTGAAGGAATTTGTTGCCAGTAAATCTGCCTTGCAAGAAATGTTAAAAGAAGTTCTTCATGGAGAAATAAAATGATATAGGTCAGGAACCCAGATCTACAAGAATGAAAGATCACTAGAGAAGGAATAAATGAAGTCAAAATATTTTATTTTCCTTATTGTTGATCTAATGTATGTGTTCAAAGTAATAATAACTGTGATTATAGCATAAGAATAACTGAAATTAATTGTTGAAGCCAGGTAATAGATGGAGTCTTTCCCATAGTCTGGTTTACCCTAAGTTTACTAGATCCACAAACCTACTTGGTCATCATTTTTCTTGTCCCAAATTGAAAATAAAAATAAACTACTTGGGCAATATCGTGAACCCAACATTAAGTATTTGGAAAACAGTGGAGAAAGCCAAGTGGAAACCTCTGAAACCTCTCCCTACCCCCCAAAATATAGTATTCAATAAATTAAAAACAGTATAATTTCCCAGTGGTAATGACAGAAGTTACTACCACTCTTAAAGGACTTTGAAAAAACAGGAGCTCTGTTCACCATTGTATCTCTGTTTTGAGAATGACGGTAGCCTACTCCAAACAAGATGTAGTCCCAAATGCAGCCACCTTTCTTTCCTTCTCCGTCCCTCCCTCTGTTCCTTCCTTCCTCCTTTCCTTCCTTCCTCCCTCCCTTCCTTCCCTTCCTCCCTTTTTTGTTCTTTCTGCCTGCTTTCCTTTCTTTAATTTTCAAAATATTTTTATTTTTATTTCTAAAAAGTTTGATAAAACTATTTGCCATCTCACATTTTTTAAGATGGCATCTAAATGTTTACCCTAAAGTATAATCATTGCAGGAAACAAATCTTAAGAATATAAATAATTGTGTGTAGATATAAAACTATTAAACACCAGTCTTAAATGGAATTAACATAGAAATCTAACAGAAATCTAGGTATCTTTCTAGTGCTGATTAAGATGTTCTTATACATGGAAAGCTTCCATTGATTTAAAGAAAGTGTACTTTAATATCTGGAAAGGATTGTATAGTTCACATTTATGTGAAATGAACAACTATATACATTTACAGTTTTGCTACAGGGCTAGGTCAGTTCTGCCCTTTGTCAAAATGTAGCCTAAATAGATACAGACTTTTAATATCCTGAGTAGTATCACATTAATCCACAAATTTGATAACATCATGCTAATTAGAACAGAGAAACAAGAAGTGGTAGGCAGTTTTGGAGGCCTGGGTAGGACCTGTGTGCTCTGATGGGAGTGACTCAGCAGTCTGCTACATTAGTGAAATATTTAGTGATCCAGTGATAAGGGGTATCCTATTATATCCCATATGAAATAAAAGACAAAGTATTGCATATTGTAACTCACCTTGAAGTAGAATGCCAAGTCAGTGCCTTTCAGACTTCTTTGTGTTCTGGAAGCTCCATATTCCACACCTAGGAACACTGCTCCAACACATGTATCAGATGAATAGAAATGGGTGCCAGATTTGAGTGAGGCCCAAACAAGAGAATACTCTGCAGCAGCTTTAGGATGTAGTGCAAGCATAATTGCATTTTAGGGCAAAAGACCTAGTAGTGATGGGAAAAGAAGCCCAAAGTAGTGATGTGAAATTTGCAGAAAATGCCATTAAGAGTCTGAACTAGGGTTACAGAGAGAGGTCATCTGCAGGAGAAAATCATATACCTTTTAATATATACTTACTGGCTTGCCTGTGGGATCTGATAGAGATGGGGCACCCGAGCATGGAACATCAAATGACCATGTGGGTATAACTGTCCATAAAACCTGGATTCTCACAGACCCACTAAGTTGTGACATCCCATTGTAAGATGAACGTGGTATATCTGGAATGAAGTGTGATCAGGACTCTACAATAAAAGGCAACATCAACAGTAGTAAGCCATATTGATTGAACATCCTTGATACAATGTCATAGAGATGTGCTTTACTTGTGTAATTAGCAGAAAGAAAAAATTGCCAACCACAAATACTCTATTTGGCAATGTTATCCTTCAAAAATAAAGAAGAAATAGATTTTGCAGGCCCTCCCACCAAAAGCTCCCTGAGGATTGAATTCATCGCCATTAGACCCATCTTACAAAATGCTGAAAGGAGTTCTTCAAGCTGAAATGAAATGATGCTAATTAGTAACATGGAAATGTACAACACACTGGCAAAGGTAAATGTACAGTCAAAGTCAGAATGAGCAACCAATATGTCAAAAAGGAAAATCAAAAAAATATTTTGAAAAAATTGAAATGGAAACAACATACCAAAACCTCCGGGATACAGCAAAAGCAGTTCTAAGAAGGAAGTTAATAGCAACAAATGCCTAGAATAAGAAAATAAAAGACCTCAAATAATCTAACTTTATACTGGAAAGAACTAGAAAGGGAAGTACCAAGTCCAAAGTTAGGAAAAGGAAGGAAAAAAACAAAGATCAGGGCAGAGAGAAATTAAAGACCAAAAAAATAATAGAAAAGCTCAATGAAACTAAAGTGTTTTCTTGAAAACGTAAACAAACTTAACAAAGTTTTATCTAGACTAAGAAAAAAAAGAAAGGACTCATATAATCAGAAAATGAAATAGGAGACTTTGCAACTGACATTACAGAAATGCACAGAATCATGAGGGGCCAGTATGAACAATTATATGCAAACAGATTGAATAACCTAGGAGAAAAGGATAAATTCCTAGAAACATACAATCTACCAAAACTGAATCAGGAAGAAAGAGAAAATCTGAACAAACCAATAACTAGTCAAGAGGTTTAATCAGGGAAAAAAAAAAAACCCACGTCCCAACTCAGAAAAGCCCTGGACTAAATGGTTTCACTAGTAAATTCTGACAGATACTTAAAGAAGAACTAATACCAACACTTCTCAAGTCTTTCAAATATTGAAGAGGAATGATGACTCTCAAATTCATTTTATGAGGCCAACATTATCCTGATACCAAAATCAGATAAGAACATTACAAGAAAAGAAAACTACAGACCAATATCCATGATGCATGTAGGTGTGAAAATTCTCAACAAAAGATCAGCAAACTGAATTCAACAGCACATTAAAAGGATCAAACAACATAACCAAGTAGGATGTATCCCTGGGATGCAAGAATGGTTCTACATCACAAATTAATAAATGTGATAACACAAGATTAATATAATGAATGTAACTCATATGATCACCTCAATAAATGATCAAAAAGCACTTGACAAAATACAATATCCTTTCACGATTAAAACTCTCAACAAATCAGGTGTGGATGTAACACACCTCAACGTAATAGAGGCCATATACATCAAACCCACTGTTAACATACACATTGGTTAAGGGTTGAAAGTTTTTCCTCTAAGATCAGGAACAAAACAAGGGTGCTCATTCTCACCAATCCTATTTAACACAGTACTGGAAGTCCTAGCAGAGCAATCAGACAATATAAAAAAATGCATCCAAATAATGGAGGAAGAAGTAAAATTGTCTTTATTTAAAGATACATGGGCCTGTGAACCAAATAGTTGTGGTTTGATTCCCAGTCAGGGTACATGCCTGGGTTGCAGCAGGGGGCACATGAGAGGCAACCATACATTAATGTTTCTCTCCCTTCTTCTCTTCCCCTCTCTCTAAAAATAAATAATTAAAATCTTTAAAAAAATAAAGATACAATCTTACGTATAGAAAATCCTAAAAATTCCACATAAAAAACTGGAACTAATTAACAAATTCAGTAAAGTTACACAATACAAAATAGCCATGCAGAAATCAGTTGTATTTTTATACACTAAGAACAAAATATCTAAAGATGAAATAAAGAAAATCCCATTAACAATAGCACCAAAAATTTAAATACTTAGGAATAAATTTAAACAAGGAGGTGAAATAGGTGTGCACCGAAATCTGTCAGAATTTGCTGAAAGCAACTGAAGAATACACAAATAAATGGAAATATATCTCATGTACCTGGATCAGAAAAATTAACATTGTTAAAATCTTCCTACTACCCAAAGCCATCTATAGATTCTACCTATTAAAATTCCAATGGCACTAGAAAAAATCCTAAAAATTTGCATGAAATCATAAGACCTCTAATATTCAAAACAATGAGAAGAGAAAACAAAGCTAGAGAAGTCACACTTCCCACCCTCAAACTATACTATAAAGCTATGTTAATGTGGTATGGTTCTGACATAAAATTAGACACATAGATGAATAGAACAGAAATAAGAGCCAAACAATAAACCCCTGAATATACCATTAACTAATGGCTGACAAGGGAGCCAGGAACACTGAGTAGGGAAAGGATAGTCTCTTCAACAAATGGTTTTGGGAAAACTGGATACCCACATTTTACCATGTATAATGCACACTTTTGCCCAAGATTTTGAGTGGAAAAAATAAAGATGTACATTGTACGTGGTAATTAGCACTAAAACATGGGTGCACATTATACATGGTGAAATATGGTAACTACATGCAGAAAAATGAAGTTGGATTTCCATCTACACCTTTGACAAAAATTAACTTGAAATGGATTAAGAACTTAAATGTAAGTCCTGATCCTACAAAACTCCTAGAAGAAAACATAGGGAACAAACTTCTTGAAATTGAATGAGGCAATGATTTTTTGGACAGGACACCAAGACCACAAGCAACAAAATTAAAAAATCAACAAATGGGACTCTACATCAAACCAAAAATCTTCACAGCCAATAAACAATGTTAAAGCCATGTACAAAATATATATGAAGAGTTGAAAACTGTAGAATGGGAGAAAATATTTTCAAAAAACATATCAGATGAGGGGTTAATATCCAAAAAATATAAAAGGTCATGCAATTCAATAACACAAAACCAATCTGATTAAAAAAAAATGGACAGAGGAACTAAGTAAGCATGTTTTCAAAGAAGACATCCAAGTTACCCACAGATACATGAAAAGGTGGTCAATATCACTAATCATTGGGGAAATGCAAATCAAAACCACAGTAAGGTATCACCTCATACCTGTTAGAATGGTTGTCATCAAGAAAACAAGACAGAATGGGTAGATCTGAAGAATAATATGCTAAGTGAAATAAGCCAGTCAAAGAAAGACAACCATATAATTTTACTCATGTATGGAATCTGATGAACAAACTGAACTAACGAGCAAAATAGAGATAGACTTACAGACAGAGCAGGATGACAGCTCTGAGGATGGGTTTTTCAGAAGTGGAGAAATCTGGCAAAAAAGAAAAAGAACTCATGGACATGGACAACAATGTGGTGATTGCAGGGTGGGTGGAGGTAGAAGACGGTATGGAGGATAAATGGTAATGAAAAATACAATAAAAATGAACTATACAGAAAAACTTAAAATCAAAACAGACTTCCAGTCAAGATGGCAGAATAGGTAAACATGGTTTACCTCCTCACACAGTCACATCAAAATTACAATTAAAATATAGAACACCCATCACTCAGAACCAGCAGAAATCTAGTTGAATGGAAGTCAGACAACTACGGAATGAAAGAAACCACATCCATCCAGACTGGTAGGTGGGGTAGAGACATGGAAAGGGCTGGTCCCAGGTCCCATATCCACGTGTGGTGGATAAAAATTCAAGAGGGATATCTTAGGAGCGAGGAGTCAGCACCACAACAGGCCCTCCAGCCCAAGGTTCCAGTTCCAGAAAGATAAGCCCCCATAACTTCTGGCTGCAAAAACCGGTGAAGACTGAGTCAGTGGAAGAAACTCATAGAGTCCTAAGCAGCTCCTCTTAACCCACACACAGACTTACTTAGATTCACTCCCCTGAGCTCCAGCACCAGGGTACCATATTGAAAGGCATCAGTGGAGTCCTGGCTGGCGTAGCTCAGTGGATTGAATGCAGGCTGCAAACCAAAGCATTGCAGGTTCAATTCCCAGTCAGGGCACATGCCTGGGTTGCAGGCCATGGCCCCCAGCAACCCCACATTGATGTTTCTCTCTCTCTCCCTCTCTCTCTCCCTCTCTCTCTCTCTCTCTCTCTCTCTCTCCCTCTCTTTCTCTCTCTCTCTTTTTCTTCCACCCTTCCCTCTCTAAAAATAAATAAAATCTTAAAAAAAAAAAAAAAGAAAGGCATCAGTGGAATACAGGGAGAAACTGAAGTGTCGGGCATGAAGGTGAGAGCTGGGGGACAGCTTTCTCCCAGACAGAAAGTCATGTAGAGGCCGTGTCCCTTTTCTGAACCCTCCTTCCACAGAGCCACAGAGCTGGCAGTCTGGTGACAAATCTGAGACTACATCTATCTGACTAATGCTGTTTGCCTCTCTCTGGAAATCCTCATTGGCTTCGTCCCACCCAATTTAAAGGTCCACCCAAGTGGCTTTTCCATGAATGGCTGGTCTTGGCTCATGCTCCACAATTTCCTATGTCTTCTAGAAACATTACCCAAGTGAAAGAATGGATCAAAACTCCAGAAAAAGAACTAAACAAAATGAAGATAAGCAATTTCTCAGATGCAGAGTTTGAAACACTGGTTATAAGGGTGCACAAAGAACTCAGTGAGGACCTCAACAGCATAAAAAAGATCCAGTCAGAAATGAAGGATACAGTAATTGAAATAAAGAACAATTTACAGGGTAACAACAGTAGAGTGAATGAAGCTGAGAAGCAAATCAATGATCTGGAACATAAGGAAGCAAAAACAACCAATCAGAGCAACAAGAAGAAAAAAGAATCCAAAAAATGAGGATAGAGTAAGCAGCTTGTGGGACAACTTCAAGCTTTCCAACATTCACATCATAGGAGTTTGAGAAGAACAAAAGAAAGAGCAAGAAATTGGGTATCTATTTGAAAAAAAATAATAAAAGAAAACTTCCATAATTTTGTGAAGGAAATAGTCATGCAAGTCCAGGAAGCACAGAGAGTCCAAAACAAGACAGATGCAAAGAGGCCCATTCCAAGACGCATCATAATTAAAATGCCAAAGGTTAAAGATAAAGAGAGCATCTTAAAAGCAGCAAGGAACAAGAAGTTAGTTTCCTACATGGGAGTTTCCATAAGATTAGCAGCTGATTTATTTAAGGAAACTTTAGAGGCTGGAAGGGACTGGCAAGAAGTATTCAAAATGAGGAAAATCAGAGACCTACAGCCAAAATTGCTCTACCCAGCAAAGCTATTATTTAGAGTCAAAGGGCAGATAAAGTGCTTCCCAGACAAGAAAAAACTAAAGAAGTTCATCATCACTTAAACAATTATTATATGAAAGTTATTTCATATTATTATTGTATAACAATAAATGATCATTGTTAAAGGGACTTATTTAAGAAAAGGAGATCAAAACTATGAACAATAAAATGGCAATAAATACATATCTATCAACAATTGAATCTAAAAAACCATCTCAGTAAACAAGAATAGAGACAGAACCATGGATGTAGAGAGCGTTTTGCTGGTTGCCAGATGGAAGGAGATATGGGGAAATGGGTGAAGAGGTGAAGGGCTAAGAAGTACAAATAGCTAGTTACAGAACAGCTGTGGAAATGTAAAGTACAGTATAGGAAATAGAATAGCCAAAGAACTTATACCCATGACCCATGGACATGAACAATGGTGGGGGTATTGCCTGAGGGAATGAAGGTTGCTGGGTGGAGGGAGGCAAAGGGGGAACACCGGAACAACTATAATAGCATAATCTATTAAATATAATTAAACAATATAAATAAATAAATAAAGTAAGTAAGTAAGTAAATTTGTGAAAACAGGGAGTAGAATGATAGTTACCAGAGGCTGGGATGCAGAGTATTAGGGATATTTTAAGGGTAAAATTTTGGAACTAGGAGATAAATAAGTCCTGGAGAGCTAATCTACACCATACTGGTGATAGGCAACAATACAGTATTATAAAGGTCAGAATTGCTAAAAGACTAGATCTTTATTGTTCCCACCGCAAAATAAAAGAAATGAAATTAAAACTAGGTGAAGTGATAGAAGGTTTAACTATTGCTAAGTTGATTGCCATATTGTAATATATGTGTATTGAATCAGCGCGTTATATACATTGCGTTATATATGCCAATTACATTTCAGTAAAAAGTGCAAGAATTATGTGATGTGATTCCTTAATTTGAACTCAAAGCAGAATTTTATCCAAGATATTCTATAGGATGGATATTTGCTATACTATGTGTTCTCCTATTTCCTGCCAATGCGAGAAAACTAAAGCGAACCAAAAGCGAAGAATTTTGCTGCTTCTGTTCACATCCTGTTTGATGTGATAAAAAAAGGCTTGTCCAGTGTACTTCGGCCTTTTATTATCTCTACTTTTAGCTCACACATGGCACTCCTTTATAATTATTTTTCATATTTTCAATTCCTGTCACTTGTTAAAAGGAACAATGAGGAAAAGAAAACGCTACCCGAGTTGTACAAAGACCGGCTAGTCTATTTGCATTCCACCTGCTAATTCAAAGGGGAAATTTCAGGCTGGTGGGAAGCTCGGCTCCCCAGAGGATTCTGGGATGTGTAGTCCCGTCGCTTCCCGGGATTGGAGCACTTCGGCCCTGGAAAGCGCAGATGTGTTGCTCCCACGGAAAAATAATTGCTTATGGTCAGGTGTTATGCATGTATTGAGGCATTTCGACTACCAGGGGCTGAGCGAATCCTGCTGTTTTCCTAGACTCCGAGAAAATCGATACAGGTCGTGGGTTTTGGAGCCGGCCCTATCTCCTCGGGCGGTGGGTGGCGGGGCCGGGCAGCTGATCTTGTTCTCCTCTGGGATGCCGGGAAATGTAGTCCATGAGCCCCGCAAAGTAGAAGATAACTTCCGCTGCAGGAGGTTTAGCTCGCGGCCTCGTTTCTCTCCGGGAGGTGAGTGGGCCCCGGGATCCCACAGCCTCTTTCAAGTTTTCTGACCTGGTGGGATCAGCCGGGCCGGCCCCGGTCCCAGAAGAAAAGCCGCGGTTCGAGGCAGAGAGGGTTTGAGGGGCCCGGCGCGACGGGGCGGGCGCTTGCCTTCCCCTGGCCCCAGCCCCTGCGTTTGGGGCGTTTCGCGAGTACCCAGGTTAGGGGCCTACCGGAGTCACCTAGGGTTTGAGGGTCTCCCCGGCTCTCCCGTTAATCCGCCTTCCCCCACCCCTTCCACACTCTTGTCACTGTCCAGCCATATAACACTGGTGAGAACTTTAATCTATGCCTCAGTTTCCTTTTCTGTAAGAGGATGATAGTACAAAGTTTGTGTTTGTTTTGCGAATCAGTGGTATAGTACAAGCGAAATGGTTTGACAGTTCAGACATCTGGCAAGGCGTGAGCGGTTAACATTAGTATTGTAATCAGAAAAGTATCCCTTTCTCTGCAAGTTCCTCGAAGTTCCACTGGCTCTTTCTGATCCCCACAGAAAAGCAGGCTATGCCCGGGCTGCTTATGACCTGTTTTTAAGGAAGAGTGAGTCACAGATTTCCCCTGGTGTTTCCAGGATGAGACAGGATGGTGGTATATGCCAGCCTCCTTTCCTTGTCCAGCCCTGTGTTCTGAAAGGGGGCTGTAGAAAGGAGGGGCGTGAGCCCGGGGTCCTGGGCTGCACTGTCCCACTGCAGCAGGACTTACCATTCATTACTCTTCTTTGTCTGTTCCAAGCGGTAGAAGGCATTTCATTCATTAGCAAATGTTTCTGTTACAAAGGTGATCGTTTATTGTTAAATAATTGTGACAATATGTGGAACATATATAGGACATGTGTGCTGGACATAATAATTAAACATTGAGTGCGAAGTATCATTCTGAGGGCTTTATAAAAATTAACATATTTAACCTTCATGAGGCCCTGTGAAACGAATATTGTTATGACCTCTACTTTGCAGATGAGGAAAGAGAGAGAGAGCAGTGACTTAACCATCACACTGCTGGTGAGAGCAGTAGGGTTTGCATCTAGGGCTTGCATTCCGTATATCTTTGTATATCCTTGGTCCCACAGTTTCAAATCCCAAAATTGGAATTAGGAAACAAAGTAGAAAAACTATCTACAGAAATATTCAACCATAGGAAACTGGCTGCAAAGTAGTCATCTGGGATCAAATTGTGGAGGTAGGTTGGAATTTTATTGTAGAGGATTTTGAAAGTAGGGTATGTGAGTTTGAACTGACTTATAAATTTTTGAAAGTGCTTAATTTGATTTGTGATAATATTTGTAGTCCATATTCTGGTTATGGTAAAAAATGCACATTCATTGTAATGAATTCAGATAATACCAAAATAAAGAAAAACATTAAGAATTACCCATAGTACGCCCTGGCTGGTGTGGCTCAGTGGATTGAGCACCAGCTGTGAACCAAAGGGTCACTGGTTTGATTCCCAGTCGGGGCACATGCCTGGGTTGTGGGCCAGGTTCTAGCGCTCAAGAGGCAACCACACATTGATGTTTTTCTTCCTCTCTTTCTCCCTCCCTTCTCCTCTCTCTAAAAATAAATAAATACATAAATTTTTAAAATAAAGACTTACCCAAATACTAGAATATAGACAGTTATTAACTTTTAAAACACATGTCTGTTTAGCACGTTTAAAATGTGTGTGTGTGTATATATATATATATATATATATATATATATATATACACACACACACACAAATACATATATTATGACATTGGTGCCACACTCTGTATAGTTACCCTCTGAACTTTTTACTATGGAAATGTCCAAACACACTGAAAGTATAGCATCATGAACTTCTATATAACAATCACCCTGCTTCAATCCTTGCTAATCTTACTGCTTTTCTTCTTCCCATGTACACATTTCTCCCTCTCTAGTAAGATAGTATAGTAAAGTATAGACTATAGTCTAGTATAGTAAAATACTATGCTCTAGTATTTTAAAGGAAATGTCAAAGTCAGTAGGACTTAAAAATTACCATAAATTCTTTATATGTGATGACCAAGGGAGGAGAGATTGTGTTAGTTTGCTAGAGCTGCTGTAAGAAAATGCCACAGACTGGGTGGCTTACACAACAGAGATTCATTTTCCCACAGTTTTGGAGCTGAAAGTCCTAAATACAGATGTCAGCAGGTTCAGTTTCTTCTGAGGCCTCTCTCCTTGGCCTGCACATGGCCACCTTCTTCCTGTGCTCTCACGTGGCCTTTCCTCTGTGGCTTGCATGCTCCTCCTGTCCCTCGTGCATCCAGATCTCCTTTTATAAGGACACAGCCAGATTGGATTAGGTCCCACCCTATTGTTCTTATTCTAACTTAACTACCCCTTTAAATACCCTACCTCCAAGTACAATCACATTCTGAAGCGCTGTGGGTTAGGGCTTCAACAGACAAGTTTTGGGGGCATTCAACTCATGACAGATGTTAACTGCAACTCTAAAGATTCTGCTCTTAGCAATGTTACTTGTATGACAAAGTTAGAAAGACTCAGGGAAGGAAGATGATTTTTTTTTTTTTTTGGTCTTTAGGAGTTATTCTTAACCACTTAGAAGTTACTGTTGCATATTCTCTCTCAGTTTCTTCTCTCTCTCCTGTTGGGCTGCAGGGACCTGTTTCATGGACCTCGTCATATTCTTCTCAGAGTACCCAGCAAGAGGGCAGCAGAGAGGAGTTAGTTACCCAGTGAGTAAGTGTGATTCACGTAGCCATCCAAAAGGGTGCTACAGCCTTGGATTAGAGAACAGAAAAGAAAGATAATTGATATCCACATTCCTTGTCTTTTATTTTGCTTTTGGTGGGTTGTAGAATCTACCAACTTCCTGAGTATTTAAAAGTCGGTGCACACTTATGCACGATATTGTCATGATCTAAAACAAATCTCCTTAGAGACACTTCACATTCATGTTCGATTTTGTGTTTGTTGCATGGGGACCAGAATGGAGATGGTGAGAATGGTTCACATATGTCGGGCCCCTTGTATGACTCAGAGAATTTCCACTGCTCTCCTGTACTAACTCATTTTTTTAAGATCGTATTTATTTATTTATAGACAGAGGGGATAGGAAGGAGAAAGAGAGAGAGACACACATCAATGTGTGAGAGATACATCAGTTAGCCTGCAACCCAGGCATGTGCCCTGACCAGGAATCAAACCAGTGACCTTTTGGTTCACAGGCCAGCACTCAATCCACTGAGCCACACCAGCCAGGGCTCATTTTCTTTTTTCTATAATGGTGCTAGTATGGGTCTCATTTTAAAATGAAGAAACAGGCACAGACAATTGAATAAATGACCTGGAGGCATAGTCAGCAAGGTGCAGAAAGTCCAAAACCTAAAACTAATTTGCCAGAATCCGAGGTCAGCAGCTAGATTTGAAGCCTAGCTCTAGTGCTCTGTGCCCGGACAACACTGGGCAGGTCACTTAGCTTCTCTGTGCCTCCATCGTCTTACCTGTTGAGTAAGGGTAATACCTACATCCTGAAGTTTTTGTGAAGGTTAAATGAGAGATGAGCCCCAATTTGTGTAGCACAGTGGATTGAGCACGGGCTTCAAACCAAAGGGTCTGCAGTTCAATTCCCAGTCAGGGCACAGGCCTGGGTTGCAGGCCAGGTCTCCAGTACGAGGTGCATGAGAGGCAACCACAGACTGATCTTTCTCTCCCTCTCTTCTTCCCTTCCCCCCTCTCTAAAAATGAATAAATAAAATCTAAAAAAGAGAGAGAGATGATATGATATGTAAAATGCTGGAAATATGCCTGGCACATAGTAGATCTCTATGTATTATAGACTAGAGTTGTCCTTTTTCTATTATAGATGAGTATACAGCATGAAAAATGTGGCAAATTAGTGAAAGGACAAAAAAGTCTTTGAAGGCATTCTTTTCTCCCCAACTTTCTGCTTTGGTACTTCAATTCCATCACACAGTTGAGCAAAGATAAATAGCTTCTGTGATAACCATTGTTCAAACCTAAAGCTAATTTGCTGTCTTACGAACTTAGAGAATCTCTGGGGGGTGTTTGTGTGGTCCCTACTGATTTAAAAAGGTCTAAGTCTGTGCTATCTAATATTGTAACCATTAGCCACGTGTGACTTTTGAGCACTAGAAATGTGGCTAGTGCTAATTAAGACACACAATGGATTTCAAAGACAGTATGAAAAAAGAATGTAAACTATCTCAGTAATTTTTATATTATAAGTTGAAATGGTAATATTTTAGATATATTAAAATAAAATTTATCATTAAAATTAAGCTGACTTCTTTTTATATTTTTTATTGAATTTATTGGGGTGACTGGTTAATAAATTATATAGGTTTCAGGTGTACAGTTCTATAATACATCATCTGCATATTTTATTGTGTGTTCACCACCCCAAGTCAATGTGTCTACTAGAAATGTTTAAATGACCAGGTAGCTTGCGTTATATTTCTGTTGGGACAGCAGAAATGGAAGCCTCGCTTTTCACTCTGAGGATTTGCCTCCAGGGGCATTTACAAGTCACTCTTGCCTCTTACACCTCCAGGGGCATCTTACAGTGAAGAGAAGCAGGTAATCAGGAGGCCTGAGTGCCAGGCCCTGCCCCACCCTGCCCCTGGCTTCCTGGGCGCCCTTGGGCAGTTCACAGAACTCCGGGAGAGGCACAGTAGAGTAGTGTGTAGTTCTCAAACTCTGGTCACATCAGACTCTCCTGGGGACTCGGTGACAAATAGAAAGACTCCGGCCTTTCACTGTTTCAATGCATGGAGCTCTGTTAGCTTTTGGGGTGATTTTGATGCTGTTCTGGTCACCTCCTATTCACCCTGTTTAGGAAGGAGGATAATTATTGTCTCAATCTTTAGAATTTTTAGGAAGATCAAATAACACACTACATGTCAGGCATTCATGTAAATGGTGCCCTGGTAGGTAGCAAGTAAGCTGCTGTGAATGTCAGCTACTGTAACTACTATTGGGAGTGTTTTGTGACTGGCCCCCATTTCCTTGTGGACAAAATTAGGTGGTTAGAATTGGTTTTGGTATCCCCTCTGATCCTAACAAACCTTGATTCTAATCCTTTTTATCAGCATCAGAGAGGAAGAGGAGCTTGTAATTTGTGCTCACCCTTTAATTTTTTTTCCCCTTGGGCAATGGGGCAGTCTGTCAGGGTTAGTAGAACAGTTGGAGGTGAAAAGCCCAAAGTCTGGCTGAACCTAGAGGACTGTTTTTGGTCGACTTTACCCAGGTGTGATCAGACACCAACAGCATCAACATCACCTGGGACACAAATGGAGATTCTGAGTCCCTGTCCTTGGTCTTCTGATTTAGAATTTTTGGGGGTGAGACATAGGCAGCTGTATCTTTTTACTTTTTATTTTTTAGGGAGAGGGGAAGGGAAGGAGAAAGAAAGGGAGAGGAACACCTATGTATGGTTGCCTCTCACGCGCCCCCTACTGGGGACCTGGCCTGAAATCCAGGCATGTGCCCTGACTGGGAATTGAACCCACAACCCTTTGGTTCACAGGCTGGCACTCAATCCACCAAGCCACACCAGCCAGGACAAGCAGCTGTATCTTCACAGGGTCTCCAGTCGATTCACAGTCCATTATAGTTTTCGAAGGATTGGTAGAAAGAACCGACTTCATTTTTTACAAAAAAAAAAAAATTCTGATTCCCTCTGGCTAAATCACACCACCTTCAATATCAGATATCAGGATGGCTGTTTCTCTCTTGATTCAGGTCTCTGCCTAAACGTAAGAGCGGCCTTCCATGACAGAAACTTCATCTGTAACAGCCCTTCCTTGTGCCTCTCACCCTGCCTTCAGTTCCTCACAGCACCTCTCACCCTGTCACTGGTTTGGTATCATCTTTGTTCCCCATTATAATGTCAACACCATGGGGTTAGGGGCTTTGCCTGTTTTGAATTTAGAGGGGAGTGATTCTTTTAATTTAATTTAATTTTTAACTTTCAAATATTATTTCAAACATTAACAATCTTCTCTTTAAATGCAAAATAACTGATAAAAAGAAGAACATTGAAAAACATACCATACACTACTAACCCTTTGCTCCATAACAGACAGCCTTTGGTACTTGCTTTTAGGTAATTAGGGGGAAAGAACCCTTAAAATTATTATTTCTATCCAAATGAAACATACTTGAGGTATTCTATTTAACAGAGGTGTGATCTCCATTCAAAAATGGTTTCTCAGTTCATTAGCAGCCTTGCCCCATGCTGTTCCCATCCTTTCCTTCTAGAGCTGATCTTTGTTTGAGCCAGTGTTCCTAAAACTGGCGACAGTCACAAATATGGACGCTTCATGGACTGTGTGTCACTCCTGCACAGGGGCCATGCTAATCTCCTCAGTATTGTTCGGAGCTGCTCGGGAGTGGTTCTCGGTGTGGCCGGCTCTCTGCTGACAGTCTCCCTGGCCCTGGCCTCTTCCCACTCAGATCTCCTGTCTGCTGGGAGAGGAATCTGTTTCCAACACGAAAGTAATCTTACTCTCCCCTCCTCAAGTCCTCTGCCGCTTTCCTGCTGCCCTGTGGATGTAACCGGGACTTGCATATCATCGTGGTTTGAATCCTGCCTTCCTGCTGTCCTTTTCTGTCTGTCTGTCCTCACTTATGTTGCAACATTGGTTCTCTAGCAGTTTTTTGGTAATTCTGCTTCTCTTGGGCTAATAAGGACGTGGTCATCCTCCCAGGTGCAGATCAAGCTGCCTTTATGTAGAACCCGCTCCACCTGAGTGCGGGCCCTGAGGCCAGGACCTTGTGCCTCCAGAGGACCCTGGTCACTCCTCTGCTACTTGGCATGTGTAGTATAAGTAGGAGCCTGGGTAATTGTGTCTCTTTCAATAAGATTTCCATAAGTGTTCAACAAATTGGTAGATGGACTTAATGAAGAATTAATGTTAGCCTGGCCCAAGTCAGTGTTGCTCAGATGGTTTTTAGCTTTGTCCCATAACTAAAAGATTGCAGGTGAGATTCCCAGTCTGGGTGTGGGCACTTTTGTGACCCCAAGTCTGGACACATATGATCCCCAAACATCTGATCTAGGTGTTGATCCCTGGTCTGGGTGTGTATCGATGTTTCTGTCTCTCCCTTTCTCTCTCCCTTTCCCTCTAAAAAAAAGCAGTGAAAAAGGAAAAGGTCCTCAGATGAGGATAAAAAGAAAAATAAGTTAGCATGTCTAGTGATAATTATGCAGGCAATGAAGTAATTGCTCTTGAACCCATTCTGTGGATTTCACAACAGGATTCCATGTAGGCATGTTTTAAAAATGGTATTTTTAAAAATCTATAGCCTCTTTTCCTTCTAAAGATGATCTTGATCTTGCCTGAGGACAGCAAATGTGGTGAAAGACTCAGAGGAAAAACTTAGAGATAAAACCCCTGCTCTCCAAGTCCTCCCAACTGGGATCAGACTCAGATCTTACAACTCAGAGACCTTAGATCAGTTCATCTAGGCTCCCCATGTGCCTCTGCCTGACGGCGGGTTCATTCCTCAGGACACCGCCAAGCAATTACTGTGTTACAGGTACTGTTTTAGGTGCTGGGGCCATAACGCCGAGGAAGCAATCACAAGGGAGGCAGTTGACTTACTCATTGTCCCCTTTCCCCTGGAGGTAATGGAAAGCTCTCCCTGCAAATCACTCTTACTGAGCAGAAGTCGCTGGGCAAATATAGAGCCAGAACAAAGTGACTTACAAATTCCAAGGGTATTTCTTCCAAGACTGGAAGGTTTGACATTGCCCTCTTTCATACTAGGGTTCTTCTATCTGAAGTCGAATGACTAATCATAATTAACTAATAAATAATTGAGCAATAGTTAACTAATGATAATCTCTTAACTTAGGCATCTTACTCTCAATTCCCACCTCCCCCCCTCTCCCACCCCACAATCCAATTTTTACTCTGAGAGCTACAAGGAGAACTTGGGTCAGAGCCACTGCGTGTGGTCGGGCAGGGCCCTCGTGCACAGGCTCCAGGAGGAAGGGGTGTGGGTATCCAGACTCCAGCCGTGCACTGCTCATCAAACTGTGCAGCTGCAGCCTGCCCAAGGAAGGGGTGCCTTGACTATGTAAAGCAGCCACATGGATGACTGCGAGTGAATGTTTAAGCTGCTGGACACTGTTCCAAATGTTTTATGTGTAGTCATCTAGACTGACTAACTTCCCTGTGCAGTTTTATGACGTGGTGGTGATTATTGTGATCCCCAACATTCAGATCGGTCGCTGAGGCACACAGGACTAGCAAGTCGGAGAGGCCAGTATTCAAAGATCAGTGGGCTCACTGCAGGGCCTAAGCGTTCACAGCTCCTTCCTCTTCTCGCTCAAGCAGCTTCTTTGGCTTCACGTCCTCTCCCTGTTTCTGTCTCTCCTTTATCGCTAGCTCTCAATCCCTCTTTTCTTTTCCGGTGATCCCTTAAACTCCCATCTGCTTATATTTGTCTTTAGAAGCAACAGAGAGACAAGATCCAGAGTACTGGCCCTGCTGTGAGAGCCTCAGCTTCCCCATCTGTGAAGTGGGAACGACAGTCCTCTTCCTCATTGATTGAGAATGTCCTAAAATGCCAGGTGCTGTGCCAGCGGCATCACATGAATTAGCTCATTTGTTCCCCCACGATAATCCTGGGACCAACATTCTGTTTTTATCCCCCTATTACAGCCAAGGATCGGCCCAGAGGTGTAGGCAATTGGGCCAGAGTCACGCGACGGACACAACAGTAGCTTCTTCCCAGGTACGTGGGAGGTACCTTAATGAAACAATGCCAAAAACTTCACAAGGCCTGCAGTGTATCTTTAGTGCTTATTTTATGTTAAACATTGACATTTTGTTATTTATTTTTACCATGACTGTGATTGCTATAGCTTGTTCATTTAAATGACATAGTACCTGATTACCTAGCTTGTGGTTAAATAAATCCCACAGAGTCACAGGTTTTTCATTTCTTTTCACCTCCATGATAGTCTTTTTTCTAAATTATTTTTTTAATTTTTATTTATTTATTTTTTAGACAGAGGAGAAGCGGGGGGAGAAAAACATCAATGTGTACTTGCCTCTCACATGCCCCCCACTAGGACCTGGCCTATAGCCCAGGCATGTGCCCTGACCAGGAATCGAACTGGCATCCCTTTGGTTTGCAGGCCAGTGCTCAATCCACTGAGCCACACCAGCCAGGGCTCCATGAGAATCTTTTTAAGGCCCTGCTTTTGAAGTAAATTTGGCAAGGACTTAACACCTTTTTAAAAACAGTCACCCACCTAGTCAAATTCATAGAGAAAAGATAGTGTTCAGCAGGGGCTGAGGGGAGCAGGGTAGAGGGTTATTGTTCGATGAGCACAGTGTTCCAGTGCGGGATGGTGAGAATTTTCTGCACGTGGGTCGTGGTGATGGTTGCACAATATGAGTGCACTGAATGAATATACAAGTAAGTGGTCAAAATGGTAAGTTTTCTTATGTATGTTTTATACAAGAAAATTGTCTATGTAATCTTAAATATTATTGCAAAGACATCAAGTTAAGTATGAAAAACCAGAGAGAATAACATGTTTCAGGGGTTAAAGGTGATTTTCCTACAACAGAGCAACAGCCTCTGAAGGCTCCATTGATAGAAACCATTTATGAGGCCAAGTTTTATGTTCATGAATATTACTTGCTTTTCTGCTGCTACTAATGAGGTACCTGAAAGTGTTCTTTTAGTTTTCTGCCCACTCACTCTATTCTTCAACAGTCCTGTGAGTTAGGGGCTCTTAATTGCTCCATTTTACAGATGAGACAATCAAGGCATGAAGCTATTAATAATTTGCCCAAGATTTCACAGCTAATAAATAGCTGTGTCATCTGGCCCCAGAGATTGCTCTCTTAATGTGGGCACTTGACTCTCAATTTCCACTCTCCCCAGGTTCAGATTCTGTACCCAGAGAGCTCCATGAACTTGTATTAGGGACACCATGTGTGGTGTTGCTCACTGCGCAGGGTCTCTTAGCTGGGGGGGCGGGGCCTAGAACCCAGTCCGCACTCTGCTCATCAAGCCCCCCACTCCCCTTAGGGAAGGGGCACCATTGCTTTTTCACGTAAACCAGCCATGTGCGTTAGTGACATCCTTGGCCAGAATCTAATGGCTTTTTTTTTCTCTTTCCCCCTTGTGCCTTCCCAAGACTCAGCCCTTCTCCAAAAGAAGGAGGACAAAATGACCAAGTTCCAGGTGAGTTGGGTGTGCCTGTCTAGGTTTTGAATTGTCATCTCATTTCTCTGTGAGTAGACACATCCCGTTTCTTTTTCTGGGGAAGGATTAAAGAGAACAGTAGGCATGTGGGACCCTCTCAGTTGCAGTGAAAAATAAATCTCCTACTTTACTACTGTTTTCCTTACAAAACATCTGTTTTCATTTTTCTATGTTCTTTTCCTCACATGCATTGCTAACTTTATATTTGTAATTATTCTATCACTTAAATTCTCAAATTATGCCTTTTCTGATTAATATTATATATGCTACATTTTTCTTTATCTCTTTTTATTAAAAGATATTTTAATTTATTTTTAAAGAGAGGGAAAGGAAGGAGAAAGAGAGTGAGAGAAACATCAATGTGTAGTTGCCTCTCATGTGCTCTGTACTGGGGACCTGGCCTGCAACCCAGCCAGGACTGGGAATGTGCCCTGAATGGGAATCAAACCAGCGACGCTTTGTTTTGCAGGCCAGTGCTCAATCCACTGAGCCACACCAGCCAGGGCTATACCCTACATTTTTAATGGCAACATATATTCCCTTGAATTGATGTACTCTGTGTGTGCCTCTCATTCATTTTTCCCATTCATGGACATTTAGGTAGATTAGAATTTTTACTGTTTTAATGAGCATTGTAATAAGACTTTTCCTATTATGACCATTTTCCTCAAAAGTAAATTTGGAAGAGTTTGCCATTCTTTGTTCTTAATGTTTAGGAACTCCAAATCGAAAAAGCATGTTTGGTATGTGGAAACATAGGTATTTTGTGTGTAGAATATCTCAGTGCAGCATGGTGCAGCAGGCCCTAACTGACACGTCACACACAGAGAATATTATTAGGTATCCTTTTTTTCTTTAAAGTTTCTTAAAATCAAAGCTATTAATGCACACAGTTTAAAGAGTCAAATAAAGGTCATTTTATAAAGCATATATGAGAAGCCACAGCTCCTTGTCCATGTCCTTCCCATCTGCCCCTCCCCCCCAGGCAGCCCCTCTCAACTGTAGCTGATAGTTTTGGTGTTGAGGGAAACCAGGATGTCACTCCAAAATATGCCTCTTGGACATAAAAACTATTTTGAGCTGAAGACAATTAAGAAGCAGCAAATTCAGGAAAAGCTCTCCCTATCCTTCTCCCTTTTCTGTCTAAAGGCAGAATATAAATTCTCCTTTTCCTGGGATAGTTCTTACCCTCCCAGAGATGCACCAGAGGAATCTGCAGACAATCCTTACTCCATTAGTTCCCTCCTGTATATTTCCCTTCCAACAGTTTGCCATCTTAGGAAGCCTAAAACTGATTTCCTTTGTCTTGTTATTTCTCTACAAAGTTGTTCTTTGTTGATGCCACGTAAGCCAGAGTTCTAACCTGCTCCTTTGAGTTACTTTTCATTGAGGTTTCTCCCACATGATGTGTGCTGCGTATATTAATAAACTGTTTTGCTGTCATTAACTGATCCAGCTAAAAAGCTAAGATGGGTAAAGTTTTGCCTCCCCTGTCGTGTCTGCTCCCACCCTTGGCATTGTCTGCATTTTTACAACAAGTGTGCATTGCTTTGTTATTTCTATGTGGTCTACAGTTAGAATGGGTTGCCAGGTTTAGCACAGGGCATCCCCAGGCAGTGCAGAGTGCCCCAGTGGTCACTGGGTACTGGCCAGCAGCTCCTCCAGCACTTGCTCCTGGCAGTTGCTGTGGACCAGCAGCACCTCGCTGATCCAGTCCTGCTGGAAGCCCATGTCACTGAACTATTCCTAGAGACGCAGGAACTGCCCTGCCTGGCTCTCAGAGAACTGGAATATCTCCATGGCCTCCTTCCCCAGGCCCTCCTCATAGCCCTGCCTCAGCAGCTGGTCACAGGTGCTAAAGTCGCTGAGAAACTGGCTCGATCTCTGCTGTCCCGTTTTTTGCAGAGCCATGATGGCCCTATGCAGGGGATACCCCAGGGCGACCACCGGCCCCATAAGGTCTTGCTCCTCATTGATGAATTGATGAGATTAAGAATTATCTGGCCCAAAATGTCAGTTGTGTCAAGGATGAAAACTCATGCTGTATGCAAAGCTATGCAAGAATAATAGCAAAATATGAGTGAAAATATTTATGATATATATGCTAAAGAAACAAAACTTAAAATCTCTAATAGAAATTTTACGGTCATAATATTAAAAAACCAATTGGAGTATGAGCAAAGAACAAGAACAGGGACTTAAGAAAAAGTGAAGATGGCCAGCAAATATATGAAAATATGATGAGTTTATCGTTTACCAAATAAGTACAAATAACCAAAATAACTTGTTTTTTACCCAGGACTTAAAAACACTGGTTGTATCCAATGTTGTATATGGTACGGAGAGTCAGGAATGCTTATATTCTGTTCAGAGCAGGATAAGATAGGGGAAAGTTGAAAAGAAAGTCTGCTATTTTACATAATAATTTTGAAGTTGCATATTCTTTGACATTGTACTTTCACTTCTTGAAATATCCAAAGAAAATAATTAGGGAGCTAATATCCATATGAAAAGTTGTTTTTTCCAGCATATATTATGAAAAGAAAAAATTAAAACATAATATGTATTATTTGGAATGTGTAACTACATTATGGTAAAATTGACTCTGGTCTCTTAGAATCTGGAACCACTTTGTACACATTCTTTACACTTTTCTCAGTGTTGTCTTCTCCCAGTGGAGGCTGGTTGTGAGACTGAGGTTTCCTGTGTTTGGTGTTGTAGGAGGCCGTGACCTTCAAGGATGTGGCTGTGGTCTTCACGGAGGAGGAGCTGGGGCTGCTGGACCCGTCCCAGAGGAAGCTGTACCAAGACGTGATGGTGGAAAACTTCCGGAACCTGGTCTCAGTGGGTGAGGGCAGGCGCTCTGAGACTGAACGTCAGTCCCCTGCGGTGTTTGTGTCCTTGGCTGTGCAGAACTTTGATGAAGCTCTTCAACTGGGTTCCTGTTTTCTAAGCAGCAAGAGACACAGTGATGGCATTTTTCTGGTCTTCCTCCCCCAGAAGTGTGTTTTGTGAATGGATTGTCAGTTGGGAGTGAGACTATTACATGTTTTTGGCCTTTCTCAAACTGTGTCATCTCCAGTGAGTGGGTCATGACACCCTTTAGGAAACTGTGCCAGCATTTTTTAATGAAGTAAAATAGGGGAGAAAGTGTCAGAGCCCCTGGCAGTGACTGCACATGGACAAACCTGCAGCCTGTTGCCAGGACCAGTATGAGAAATGGTGGAGAGACTGTGATGGAAACAGATATTATTTTAAAACGTTTTAACAGTTTTTATTGAGCTATAATATGTATACACACATACCTTACTATACAATATGACTCACCCATTGAGAGTATACAATTCAGTACTTTTTAGTATATTATCAAATAGATGTTTTCCCCTGTAATTTATACTTATGTCTACATATCCTGGGGATTTTGCATAAAACGTATCTCCTCTGGTGGGTCACAATTTACAGTTTGGAAAACACTCATTTTGATGTTCTGATGGTAGTGCAATGAGAAATCACATTTTTTCGTGATTTTGGCCTTTAATGTATTAACTTTTAATGTTTGTCCTTGCCTCTTCCCAGGGCATCAGTCCTTCACAGCAGATGTAATCCCCCAGTTAGAGAGAAAAGGAAAGCTTTGGGTGGTAAGGACAGCACCCCAGAGCCAAAGCTCCTCAGGTGAGAGCCGTGCAACTCAGTCCATCCTGCTTCTTGTCACCTCCACTGCCATGACACTGGTCTAAGTCACTTGTCACCTCCACCGCCACAACACTGGTCTAAGGCAGTGCCTAGTCTGTGGATTACTGCAGCCATCTTGGCATCATTCTCACTCTCTGTCTTGTTCTTTGACAGTCAGTTCTCCACTCAAAGTGATTTGTGCAAATGTTTGTCAGATCTTGTCAGTCCTCTGCTCAGAGCCTCTACTAGCTTCCTATTTGATTCAGAGTGAAATCCAAGTACTTCGAGTGGCTTATCCCATTCCCCGTGGCTGCTGCTCCCTCCCTCTCCCCCATCCCTCTATAAGTGTGACCTGTCACTTTCTGCCTCATTAGTCTGTAGACTAATTCCATCTAGTTTTGCCTCTTTGCCCTGCCAAGCATACCCCTGCCTCATACCCCTGTACTTGTTCTTTCCGTCAGGAGCATTATTTCCCCTTGTCATTCTCTCCACCTCTCCCTTACTTAATGTAGGGCTTTTCTCAAATGTTAACCTCATAAGAACAGCTTCCCGTGACCCCTCTGTTCAGAATACTTTCTTCCTCCACTCCCTTCCCTTACCCTGTCTTAGTTGGTGTCTAAGCACTGATCACCACTTAATCATATTAACATTTATTTTTATTTATCTTACTATATTCTCACTGGATTATAATCTCAGGAGAAGAAAAATTCTGTTTTTCTTATTACTATATCCTTAGTATATAGAACAGACTTGGAAGAAGGCAGGTGTGCTATAAATGTTTATTGAATGAATGATGGTTACATGGACCTTTTTCCACTGTTGACTGAGACCCTTAAAGAGTGGTAATAAAAAAATGTGAGATGAAGGCATCATTCAGAACAGTTTATCCTCCCAAGGAGTGTCTAAATTTATTAGGTGTTTTTGGATATATGTAGATATATATCCATTAAAGCACACCTAATGAAAACTTAGCTTTTCACTTTTAACCAAATTAATTATCATTTTCTCCCTGAATTTTCTGTAGCCTTTAGTGGTGAGTCATACTGTCTCGGTAAAGAACTGCCTTTTAGAATGAAGGTTCTTGATATCCTCTTTATACAGAGATTCCTTTACTGCTTACAGAGCACCTCTAATTTGTTTTTTGTTAATACTTGTCAAAAGCTACTAAATTTGCCCTGGCTGTGTGGCTTAGTTAGTTGGGTGCTGAAAGGTTATGGAATCGATCCCTGGTCAGGGCACATACCTGGGTTGCGGGGTGTATGGGGGAGGCAGCCAATCGATGTTTCTCTCACATCAATGTGTCTCTCTCCTTCTCTCTCTCCCCTTTTTCCCTCCCTCTTTCCCCTCCCTCTCTCCCTATCTCTCTCTCTCTCTTAAATCAATAAACATATCCTCAGGTGAGGACTTAAAAGAAAAAAACTATAAACTCATTTCAAACTTAATAAATCCTGCCTTCAGCTTGAAAAACAGTGGTGTGGTCCATATAGACAAATGAATCTATGTCTGTCAATTTGACAGTCTACTTTCACAGACATTATTCCTGAGGCCCTAAATATGGACTCCTACTTGAAAGTGGAAAAATTTTACACACACAGAAAGGAAGTACAAAAGAACTAGAGAAGCTAACAGTCCATAGGCCTGTGGCCACTTTTATACCTTATACTTTTTTTCCCTCCCAAGTGATTCTTGCCACAAGTGTGGGATCAGCATGATTTTCTCATCAGCAACAACCATTTGGTTCAGTCCCTGTCCTATTATGGTGACTATTTGAAAAAGCTCTTTTACATTTGTAATATAGTTCAGACTCCCAAAGAAGTTAAGCTGGGATTTATATACCTATTCAATATTTATTTATGTATGTATTTATTTTATTTTATTATTTATTTATTTATTTTAAAACATGCGCTGTTAGTTTTTCTGGATTTTTAAAAAAGATTTTATTTATTTATTTTTAGAGAGGGAAGGGAGGGAGAAAGAGAGAGAAAGAAACATCAATGTGCTGTTGCTGGGGGCCGTGGCCTGCAACACAGGCATGTGCCCTGACTGGGAATCGAACCTACGGATGCTTTGGTTCGCAGCCCGCGCTCAATCCACTGAGCTATGCCAGCCAGGGCTGTATGTATTTATTTATTTAAAGATTTATTTTTATTTTTAGAAAGAGGGGAAGGAAGGGAGAAAGAGAGGGGAAAAAACGTCAGTGTACAAGAGAAACATTGCTTGGTTGCTGCTCACACAACCTGGCCCACAACCCAGGCATGTGCCCTGTCGGGGAATTGAACCACTGAGTTTTAAGTTTGCAGGCCAGTGCTCAATCCATTGAGCCGTAACAGCCAGGGCTCAACATATATTTACTGAACACTGTGTCAGGCAGTGTTCTGGGAGTGGTGAGAAACGGGTGAACAATGTAAAATGCTCATCCCCATGGATATTGCATTCAAGTGAGGGAAAATATAAAGGACACAGGTAGTATGTCAGATGGTAAAATGTGTTGTTTAGAAAGAAGGGAAAGGTGTGTAGAGATTACCAGGGGTGTATTGTGGATAGGGAGACTTTACTATTTGCTTTTGGTTAGTAAAAGGCCTCACTGATAAGGTGTTATTTGAAGAGAAACCTGAAAAGAAGTAAGTAGCAAGCTGTCTGGCTAATTGGCAGAGCAGAGTTCTAAGAAGAACAGAAATCTTCTGTCCAGTGTTGACTTTGAGAATCAATTCTATGTCCTATTTATTTAATTTCACAATAGATTAGCTTCTAATTTTTTACCATGTTTCCCTTCTCAGGTTATAGGAACTTGAATTGCTATGAGGTTTGAGAGTAATGTGTATTGTTACTGTAAACCTTTATGCCCCAACCACCCGACCAGTTGTCCTCCTGAAGGATATTTCTCTGGCAGAGGGGAAGGAGCACTCTCTGCTTATACTCTGAACATTAGACACTCGGGAGAGAAAGTATTTTCTCCCAAACATGTTTTTCCAACCAGCCTGTTGCTTCTATGGCTCCTAACATTGGCGTAAACTTCCAATAAATAATTCAAAGCAAAGGTTTTCAACATTGCCTGGGAGCCCTGGCTGGTGTAGCTCAGTGGATTAAGCACCAGACTGGGAACCGAAGGGTTACCAGTTTAATTTCCAGTCAGGGCACATGCCTGGGTTGTGGGCCAGGTCCCCAGTAGGGGGCACATGAGAGGCAACCACACATTAATGTTCCTCTCCCTCACTTTCTCCTTCCTTTCTCCACTCTCTAAAAATAAGTAAATAAAATGTTTATTAAAAAGAAACATTGCCTGGGGACATCTCCTCTTAATTTGTCTGTAAGGGTTTTACTAGACATTTTGTGCATTTTGGTCAGATGTGCATGCGGTAGGCAGAAGGGAGAAGGCTTTTAATAAAGTGCAGTTTCATTTTTTTAAAGATTCCCTGGGAAGTAGTTTCTTTTTCTTTTTATCCAAAACAGATTTGTAAAAACTGTATTTATTATACTGTGCATAAACCTTTTATATTAAATAAATTTCAAATTACATTCTTCTCAAAGATGTTTCTAGTATTTCTGAGACCTCTTCCATGTGTGTTATGTACAGTGAACCCATTTTGAAAAAGCAGTGACGTAAGCAAGCCAACCCTAATGGATTACTAAAGCATTTCCCTGTTTTTATTTAAAAATCATAGGGTTCTGCTTTTGTATAACATTTGTACATCTAGCACTGTAAAATGCTGACACATTTTAAAAAACAGAAATGAAATAGAAATTCAGAATCCTTTTGACTCAGTGCTCTTACATTTTTTAAAAAGAGAACAAAATAATGCATGACTCAGAATTTTGGTGTGGTTGGCATGCCTCGCTTCATTTTACTTTTTAACCTGCTGCCTGTATGCCAGTGATGATGTGGCTGAGCTGTTTGTGCTGCCACTGCTGCCATAGCCATTTAAGAATCGCAGCTGCAGCTGCCTGTGACTGCATGAAACTTCCTACTACAGCAAGATTAATAACAACAGCATGCTGAGCAGATAAGGCCTTTTCTTGACTCGTTGAGCCTAGTTCAGAATCCTGCTCCACTGGCTGCTGAGGACGTGCAGTTGTGGGTTGCTGAGTTGTTGAGTTGTCTAAGAAATATTTTTCTTGCTCTGCAGCCACCAAATGTCTAACTTGTAGCTCACTTATGAAACTTAGTACTATTCTAAATAGGTATCATTGATGCATCATGAATGGGATCCTGGTGGATCATCTTTTGGTTTTTGGAGCCATACAAATCAGAGAATATGATGCATAATGATAAAAAATGGAACTTCTGGTTCAATAAAGCCTTAGGGTGTAAGCCTATGGTCATAACCTTGACATTTCAAAACAAAGCATTCACCTACCCATCACCAAATTCTCTTTATTCTTTTAGGAGACAAGACTCTAAATAACATGGAGATTATTCAAGAAGTTGGATTAAAGTACCTTCCACATGAAGAGTTTTTCTGCTCACAGATCTGGCAACAGGTTACCAAGGATTTAACTAGATGTCAAGATTCCATAGTAAATATTCAAGGAGCTGGCTCTCAGTTGGACCAACAAGCTGATACACTCTGTCAATATGAGGAATTTGGTAAAGCCTCTAATCAGAATTCGCATCTTAAGGTTCATCACAGTGTCCACACTGGAGAAAGACCTTACAGAGGCATGGAATGTGAGAAAGATTTTATTGAGGACTCTTGTCTTCAAATTAGCAAGATGGCCCTTGCAGGAGAGAAGCCCTATAAATGTGAAAAATGTGAAAATGCCTTCCGTCGGTTTTCAAGTCTTCAAGCCCATCAGAGAGTCCACAGTAGAGAGAAATCGTACAAGTATGATATGTCATGTAAGAGTTTTAGTCAGAAGTTATGTCTTCATCATCATCACCGAGTTCCTACAGGAGAAAATCCACACAGATTTGAGGAGTGTGGGAGAAATGTCGGGAAAAGCTCACATTGTCAAACTTCTCTGATAACCCACACGTTAGAAAAACCCTATAAATGTGAAGAGTGTGGGGTGGGCTTCAGTCAAAGCTCATATCTTCAAGTCCATCAGAGAGTTCACATGGGAAAGAAACCTTACAAATGTGAAGAGTGTGGGAAGGGCTTCAGTTGGCGTTCACGACTACAGGCTCATCAGCGAATCCACACTGGTGAGAAACCATACAAATGCAATGCATGTGGCAAGGGCTTTAGTTATAGCTCACACCTTAACATTCATTGTAGAATCCACACAGGAGAGAAACCCTATAAATGTGAGGAGTGTGGGAAAGGCTTCAGCGTGGGTTCACACCTTCAAGCCCATCAGATAAGCCACACTGGAGAGAAACCATACAAGTGTGAGGAGTGTGGGAAGGGCTTCTGTCGGGCCTCAAATCTTCTGGACCATCAGAGGGGCCATACTGGGGAGAAACCCTACCAGTGTGATGCATGTGGGAAAGGCTTCAGTCGTAGCTCAGATTTTAACATTCATTTTAGAGTCCATACAGGAGAGAAACCCTATAAATGTGAGGAGTGTGGGAAGGGCTTCAGTCAGGCTTCAAATCTTCTGGCCCATCAAAGAGGCCACACTGGAGAAAAACCATACAAATGTGGTACCTGTGGGAAGGGCTTCAGTCGCAGTTCAGATCTGAATGTTCATTGTAGAATCCACACAGGAGAGAAACCATATAAATGTGAAAAATGTGGGAAGGCCTTCAGTCAGTTCTCAAGTCTTCAGGTGCATCAAAGAGTCCACACGGGAGAGAAACCATATCAGTGTGCAGAGTGTGGGAAGGGCTTTAGTGTGGGTTCACAGCTTCAGGCCCATCAGAGGTGCCACACTGGAGAGAAACCATACCAATGTGAGGAATGTGGGAAGGGCTTCTGTCGGGCCTCAAATTTTCTGGCTCATCGTGGAGTCCACACTGGAGAGAAACCATACCGATGTGATGTGTGTGGTAAGCGCTTCAGACAGAGATCATACCTTCGAGCCCACCAGAGGGTCCATACGGGAGAGAAACCATATAAATGTGAGGAATGTGGTAAGGTCTTCAGTTGGAGCTCATACCTCCAAGCCCATCAGAGAGTTCACACTGGAGAAAAACCATATAAATGTGAGGAGTGTGGGAAGGGCTTCAGTTGGAGCTCAAGTCTTATAATTCATCAGCGCATCCATGCTGATGATGAGGGTGACTTTCCTTTAACAGAGAACTCATACAGGAAAGAAGCTTGATAACTTACATGTTTTAATACCTCAAGATGGGTGCTGAAAGAGTCCAATTACCAGACCTGCTATAGAAGACAAAACATTTGTGAAAGAGCCAGTCTTCAGGCAGAGCCCAGCATGTCACAGTGATTGGGTGACCATGCAGCAGAGAAGCCTCGTGAGAGTGGAGATAGGACTTCATGCAGAAACTTGACATTTAGTGAGTATTACACAGAAGAGAGGCTTAGGAAGGATGAGTCTGATTCAAAGTTAACCAACAGTACTAAGAGGGAAAAATCAGAAACCTATTCCCCTAGAATGTGTGGAAAGGGTAGTGACTTGGTAGACTGCCAGATGTACTCAGCCTTTTTTTCAGTGCCTAACACGTGTTCATTGTTAGGTGAGTAGAAGAGAGGACAGCCATATTTAACATTTTTATTCAGTTCACCTCCAGATATTTCTATAAAACTGTACTTAGGAGATGAATTCTGCAAGGCTTGGAGGACATTTCAATTATTAAAGACATGGGAGCAGTTTACCAACCTGCGGGTCCTGTGAACTGGTGTTTATCACAACAAAGGTTGCAACACTTTTGGAGGGTCCAGAAATCCATTCAGGACGTTGTGACCAGCACTTCTGTATGCTAGCAATTGAAGTGTAGTTTGCATGCAGTACATGCATAAATCTCAAGTTTACAGATTCATGACTTTTGACAAAGGTGTACATTTGTGTAACCACCAAGACCAATATGTACAATATTTCTATTAAACCAGAATATTTCCTTGTACATATTTCCAGGCAATCTGATCTCCAGTGGCAACAACTGTTATGATTTCTATCTCATAGATTAGTTAGGTCTGTTACTGAGCTTCATATGAGTTCAATATGTACTCTTTTGGATTCCTTATATACCCTTTTGTGTCTAGATTCTGGATTCTTTTGATCAAATATATGATCATCAGTAGATTCAGAGAAAGCATTTGACAAAAATATCTCTTCATGGTGAAAAGTCCTCAGTGAGATAAAAGTCATCTATGAAAATCTTACAAGCTAACATTCCATAAAATAGAATCTGTGATGTATCATTTCATGTTTTGGCAAAAGCTTATTGTCATATTTTTTTACCACCACAATGAAGAAAGTCCTTTGTACTCTTGTAGTCAATTCCTCTTTCCATTGCACCCCCAACATCCTGCAACCACTGGCCTGTTCTCTGTCTGTATAGTTTCCCTTTTCTAGAATGTCATATAAATGGAGTCATACTCTATGTAACCATTGAGTCTGGTTTCTTTCACTTAACAATGCTTCTGTGTTTCATCAGTCTTGATATATGTTATCAGTAGTCATTCCTTTAATGCCTGAGTGGTATTCTATTATATGGATGTACCATATTTTGTTTATCCACTTATGACTTCAAGGATATTTGGGTTTCCAGTTTTTAGTTGTCATGAAGAAAGCAGATATAAATGTTTACATACAAGTTTGTGTGTCAACATAAGTTTTATTTGTCTTAGTAAATACAAGGGTGGTATTGCTGAGTTGTATCATGAGTATGTTCAACTTTATGAAAAACTGACAAGCTTTCCTAAAATGGGCATAACCATTTTGCATTCTTACCACCATTGCCTATCAGAATTTTGCTTTTGTTTTTAGCATTTCATGGGTTAGTAGTGGCATGTCATTTTGGTTTTAAGTGACATTTTCCATATTACTGTGATACCCACCCATCTTTATATATGAATGTTTACTATTCATATACCCTATTTTCTTTTGTGATCTCTAGTTCTTGATTTTTTTAGAATTCTTTATATGTTCTGGATACATGTTCTTTGTCAGTTATGTGTTTGTAAATATTTTATCCCTCTGTGTAAATTGTGTTTGTATTTCATTAATTATTTTTCACAGATGGGGTTTTTCCAAATCATTGATGAAGTTTAATTTTTGTCTTCCAAGGATTGTGCTTTTGGTTTCAGATATAAGAACTCTTCCTAATCGAAGATCACAACATTTTTTTCCTTTTTAAAAACTTAAATTCTTTAGGGTGGCATTGGTTAATAACATAGAAGTTTACCCCCTTTTTAGCTAAAAATTTTATGGTTGCAGGTTTTATATTTAGGGCTATAATCCATATGAGTTTATAAAGTGTGAGGTCGAGGTCCATTTTTTTTTCATATGAACATCCAATTAAGTATCCTTTTAACATCAAATTGCTGTTCATTGCACTTTTGTAAAAAATTCATTGACCTACTTGTGTGGGTCTTTCTGGCCTCTATTTGGTTCCATTGGTCTATATGTCTATTATTTTGCACATGTAGCTTAATACATTAAGTCTTGAAATGAGAGTATGTCTGCCAACTACATCATTTTCAAAATTATTTTAGCTATTCTACGTGGACTGTAGTTGACCACAGGGTGTACAACTCGTAGTTGTTCATGGGATTTCCTTGGTGATGCAGGTCACGGTCAGCCCCCACCTGTGTTTTGCCCAGGACCACCCTGCCTGAGCTATAAAGCAATCTGAGATGGCTGCTACTAGTGGTGTGGTTGGAGATTCCTGGGCGAAACCAAGCTGTGAATCTAGGCTGATTGCCACTAGTTCTAGGCCTAGGGCCTCTTAGCAAGAGTTATGGGGGTCAGGGGCTCCCTGAAGCTGAGGATTGTTTTGAGAAGATTTAGGAAGTTGTGAAGTTGTGAGCCAAGACCAGCCATTCATATGGAGAAGTAGCTTGGGTGGGCCTGTAAGTAGGTGAGACGGAGTCCCTGGGGATCTCTAGGGTGGGGCAAACAGTGTTTAGCAGGTTGATGGAGTCTCAGATATGGCACCAGCCTGCCAGCTCTGTGGCTCTGTGGGGGAACATTCAGAAAAGGGACAATGGCCCACCTTTCTGTCTGGGAGAAGGCTGTCCCCCAGCTCTCGCCTTGATGCCAGGCACTCCACTTTTCTCCCTGGTGCCTTTCAAGCAGCTACCCTGGTGCTGGAGTTCAGAGGGTCAGTCAGTAAATTCCTATGGGGGTTCTTCAAGAGAAACTACTTGGAACTCCAGGAGTTTCTTCCATCAACTCAACCCCTGCTGGGTTTTGCAGTCAGAAGTTATGGGGGCTTATCTTCCTGGCACTGGAACCCTGGGCTGGGAGGCCTGGTGTGGGGCTGGAACTCCTCACTCCCAAGATGTCCCTTCTGAATTTTTATCCACCACAGGCAGATGTGGAAACAACCTGTTCCATGTCTCCACTCCTTCCAGCCTGAATGAAAGTGGTTTCTTTAATTCTATAGCTGTCAAACTTCCATTTAACTCAATTTCTGATGGTCATGAATGATGATTGTTCTATATTTTTGTTGTAATTTTGATGTCATTGGGCAAGGAGGTGAACTGTGTTTACCTATGCCACCATCTTTACCAGAAGTTCAGGCATTTGTCATATACCTTTTAGCTATTTGTGTATCTTCTTTGGAGAAATATCTATTAGAGTCTTTAACCCATTTTTAAAATTGGGTTATTAATTTTTTTATTATTGAGTTGTCAGTTTCTTGTATATTTTGGAGGTTAACCGTTTATCAGATATGATTTGAGATGTTTTCTCCCATTCTGTGGGGTTGCATTTTCACTCTGCTGATTGTTTTCTTTGCTGTGCAGAAGCTTTTTCATTTGATATAGTCCCACTTGTTTATTTTGTTTTTGTTCCACGGATTTTTGGTGTCATAAAATCATTGCCAATACCAATGTTAAGGAAATTTTCTTCTAAGAATTTTATAATTTCAAGTCTTAGATTTCAGTCTTAATGAATTTTGAGTTGATTTTTGCACATGGTATAGGATAAGGGTCCAATTTCATGTGGATTTCTAGTTTTCTGGAAACCATTTCTTGAAGAGATTATCCTTTCATCATTATGTGTTCTTGGTGACCTTGTTAAAGATTAGTTGATCACATATGCATGGGGTTATATCTAGACTTTCTATTCTATTCTATTGGTCTATGTATCTGTTTTTATGTCAGTATCATACTGTTTTTGATTATTATAGTTTTGTAACATAGTTTGAAAACAGGAAGTGTGATGCCCCCAGTTTTCTTCTTATTTCTCAGGATTTCTTTGACTATTTGGGGTCTTTTTTTGGTTCCATGTGAATTTTTTAGATTGTTTCTTTCTATTTATTTGAAAATGCCATTGGAATTTTGATAGGAATTACATTGAATCTGTATGTGGCTTTGGGTAGTATGGACATCTTAACAATGTTAAGTCTGCTGATCCATGAACATGGGATATTATTCCATTTATTTGTGTCTTCTTCAGTTTCTTACCGTTTTTAGTGTACAGTTCTGTCAACTTATTTCTAAGTAATTTATTGTTTTGATGATATTGTAAGTAGAATTGTTATCTTAATTACTCTTTCTGATAGTTTGCCATTAATGTATAGAAATACAACTGAGCACTGGCCAAGTAGCTGTGTTAGTTGGAGTATCATCTTGATGTGCCAAAGTTATGGTTTCAATCTCCAGTCAGGGCACAAACAAGAAGCAATGAATAAATAAGTGGGACAACAAATTTATTTTTCTCTCTCTTCCTCTATTTTTCTCCCTCCACCCCCCCACCTTTCTCACTCTAAAATCAATAAATAAAATTTTAACTAAAGAAATAACTGAATTTTGTATGTTGATTATACGTTCTAACTTTACTGAACTCATTTATTAGCCAACAATTTTGTTGGAGTCATTAGGGTTTTCTCTATATAAGATTATATCATCTATAAATAAGCAAATTTACTTTTTTCTTTCTAATTTGGATGTCTTTTTTTCCTTGTCTAATTGCTCTGGCTAGGTCTTCCAGTACTGTTGAATAGAAGTGGTGAGAGTGGACATCCCTGTCTTCTTCCTGGTATTAGGGGGAAAACTTCGAAATTTTTCAATGCTGAGTATGATGTTAGCTGTGGGCTTGCCGTAGATGGCCTTTATGATTATGAAGTACATTTCTTTTATACCTAATCTGTTGTGACTTTTCATCATAATAAATGTTGGATTTTATCAACTGCTTTCTCTACACCTAGTCAGATGATCATATAATTTTTGTCCTTCACTGTGTTAATGTGGTCTGTCACATTTATTGATTTGCATGTGTTGCACTGTCTTTGCATTGCAGGGATAAATCTCACTTGATCATGATGTATGGTCTTTTCTCTCTTTCTCTCTTTCTCTTTTTTTTTTCTTCCTTCCTAATGCTGTGCTGTCAGTGCCCTGGTATGTGTGTGATCTTGTTAATGTGATGTTGTACTTGGTTTTCTAGAATTCTGTTGAGAACTTTTGCATCTATATTTGTCTTTTCTTGTAGTGCCCCTATCTGGTTCTGGTATGAGGGTAATGCTGACTTTGTTAAATGAGTTTGGAAATGTTCTCCTTCAACTTTCTGGAAGATACTGAGAAGGGTTGAATTAATTATTATTTAAATATTTGATAGAATTCATTAGCAAAGCGATCTGGTCATGGGCCTTACTTTCTTGGGGTATTTTTGATTACTGATTCGATCTTTTTGTTATCAGTCAATTTCAGTTTTCTGTCTCTTCTGTTTCTTCATGACTCTTTTGATGCCATTGGTCAGAACTTAATTACATGGTGACACTTTCTAGTAACTGAAGTCGAGGAATGAAGATATTAATGAGATGGGCATATGTTGATTTGGCTAACTCTTGGTGGTTTTTTGCTAAAGGAAAATGGGAATGATGTTATTAGTCATTAAACATCAGACAGTTCATCTCTCCACAATCTCTGAAACCTTATGATGATTGCAATGCTCAGGAAATAAACCTTTCAAACAATATATAATAAACCATTTGGAGTATTAAGAAAAGCTTTGGCTGATGGTAAGAAAACCAGAAGCAGATAAGATTCATGAGCAGTTGAAGATGCTGCAGTTATAATACCTCACAGGTAAAATCCCAGTCACTTGGAGAAAGGCTGGTCCCTTTTGGATTACCGATGGGAAAACACTTCCTAACTTTTACCCACATTTAATCCTTAGTATTCACACATGCTTCTGAGGAGACTGATAAAGTTCAGAGACCATCAATATGTTTGGAAAATCTATACTCAAATAGATCATACAAGTTATTGGAGTAGACAAGTGTTATGTAGGGGTAGAAAGCATGGACTTTAGAGCCAGAATGCCTTATTAAAATCCTAGATCTTACTAGTCACAAAACCCTCTGTAAAACTTAATTTTTTTATGCCTCAGTTTAATTATGTATCAATTGTGGACATGGATAGAATTTACCTGAGATTTTCCCAGGGTTAGATAAAGTATTATATGTACTTCAAATAATGTTGGCCATGTAGAGAGTGCTTTTTAGTGACAGGTGATTTTTT